CAAAGGAACCTTAAAGGCAAATACACCTCGTCTCCACTTCTGATGTAATTACAATATCTCCACACAAAATCAGAAGCTCCAAGCTCGGAAAAGGAGCTCGAAAAGGAAAATCACGTCGAAGGCTGTTTCCAACAAAGCAGCGGCAAGCCCATCAATGATGATCGGCTCCTGAGTGCGAATGTAGCACACAGGACCAAGGGTGTGCACAAGTGTCCGGAAAGGCCAAAAGCCTCACAAATCCGGTCCTGACTGAGCTGCAGGATTGTCACTGCAACACTCAAGGTGACAAGGACCTGTGCCAATTAATTGCACGTTCGAAAATGACGGCGGCTGGCAGCATGCACCACTTTCCTTAATCAGTTTTTACATGTATTTAAATAATGCCTTTTCAAAGTGTTTCCATTCAACCCTTTGCAGGCATGCAACCTTCAGTAGTTGCGAGATCCACCAAGCAAATCCTCACGTGATGCGAAAGCACTCCATCCTTGTTGGCTAATGTGTACAAGCAGGAGTAGACTAGTGCTAGAGCAGTCCTAACTAGTAGACACTTTGTCCACTTATTCTTCACTTATATATATCATGCGTATGTACAGTATATATAATATATAATAATATATACTATATACACTTGTTGGTACAGCGCACTCATCAGTCTGACCACGGAAACGACTGCTGCATCTAAGAGTCGGCTCGAGCCTGGATCCTCCAGCAGTTCCCAAACAGCATTGCAGCGGCTGCGATCTGAGATGTTGGATCCGCAGTCAGTCAGTCATGATCTGGCAACATATGGCATGACATACAGTCCAACCATGTACACACCCAAACTAGGAAAAGTAATCGAAACATGGGAAGAGGTGGCGGTTGCCCAAAGCAAGTGAGTTTAGGGACGACTGAGTGGTGGGTGTAGGACCAAGTTGGAGCCCAACAAGTTCAAAATATGGACTGTTCGGCTGTCAGTCAAGGTGCGCAAAAGGCGGTGCATTGGCCGCTCATGTTCTGGCAAGTCATCCTGAAAGCGCTCATGATCAAGCTGACCCTGCTTCTCAACTTTCCAAATCACTCCTCCTCCTACCTTTCAGACTCTCCAACGCACTCAACACAGAACAGCCCATCTGTTTGTTCGAGCCCTTGGCTGTATATTGTGGCATGCTAGGCCAGCTTCTTTGCAGCCGTGCGACCGTGGCAAGCGCCTGCGTCAAGTGCGATACCAATCGGAGATCCACACTGCGAGCCTCAGAGTAGGTCCAAGCAGCACCAAAGTAGCCTTCTTGACTTGGCATTCCAATGTCAGCATAGTTTTGTGAACGGGCATCATCCATCATCGTTCCATATCGGTCCACCAAATTAGCTTGCTCTATAGATCCCAAACACCCCTGGAGCCAGTGTTTCATCATAACACTCTTCCTGCTGCCCCCCGCCCCAAAACAAGTATGTGAGCAAGCAATGGTCTTGCCTTGCCAGTTTGGAAAAAGTTGGAGTTTCATGAGGAACTTCCCTGAAATCACGGTGCCAAAAGCGATATCACTTTGCTCGCCTGGCCAGGAAAGTTCGCCTTGACTGACTTGAATTCACCATGGGTGCATAATGATTCACGTGTTGTTCATGCGAGATGCCTAGTGTTAATGCATTACATACAGTAGTTATCTTGCAAGTTCGTTAGCAGTACCAACCTCCCTTTCACGCTTGTTACATACCCATCCCGCCATACTATACCTGCTCCACATAGTTTCCGAAATGGAGTCTAATCCGTTGTGCTGGCGAGGGGTGCGCAGGAAGTGACGTCGTGTGACGTCGTGTGCATGAGGGTGAGCCCCCCTCGTCGATTGAGCTACCAAGGATCTGGTCCAGCATTCCGGTTCGGACGGATGGGCACTCCCTCAGGGCAGGAAATTGAGGTGAGCTGGGCTAGGAAACACAAGTAGGGAGGAGTAGAGAAGCCAAGAGTCGGCCTGCAACGGAAGGCTTGCTTTATCACGAGGACTTATAGGACTTTCATCAGATGCTGGAAGCACCTTGCGGCCACAGAGTGGATGAGGTCGTGTACAATCTTTACTTTACTTTTGAATTCAACAATGAGATTGGGCAGCCGGCTCCAGATAGGGATCGGCTGTCAGCTAGGTCTGCTGAGGCTGCCTTGGCTAGGCAGTTTCATGGTGTGTTTCACTTTACCTTGCAAACAAGCAGCGGGATCATAAACAGCAAAAGGAAGGTGCCGCCGCAATGACGTAGACGTGGTTGGTGCCTTGGTAAAGGTGGCATACAGGCATACACTGATTAATATCCATTCGCATTGGGCTTGGATCCTGGCCAGGTCTCCTGCCAAATTACACGGGCACGCAAGCAAGCCCAGGAAAACAAATACATACATACAGACATACATTACATTACATTACATTACGGAACATACAGAACATACATAACATACATTACATACATAACATATCAAAACATATCATAACATATCATAACATTACATAACATTACATAACATTACATAACATTACATACATACATACATTACCATACCATACCATACCATACCATACATTACCAGACCATACCATACCATACAGTACCATTACATTACATTACCTACATCCATGCATGCATGCATGCATACAATTACGTTACATTGCAATTCATTACATTGCCTTACATACCATTAGTACTTACATGGACACACATGCATACATACATGACATGGCATGACATTACATTAATAATTACATACAATTACAGTACATTATGCTACATAGCATTACATTACATAATTACAATATTACGTTACATGACATTGCATTATTTACATTACATGACATTCCATTACATTACATTACATTACATACGCAACTACAAGCGAACACCCACGGCTGTACATATCAGGGGCCAGGGCCTGTACTTTCGGTACGCACTTTGGGTATGTGCTCGCATTCCAAGAGAAATAAGGGTGACAGTTGCATACACTGTATTGCCTTTAGAGTTGCAATGGATGGTCCAGTAGCCAAAGGGTCCTTGTACTTTGCTCGTCGGCTCCCCTGGCAGTCTCAAGACCTTGTTGCGTGAGATCTCTGCGAGGCAAGCGTCCACCTCCATTGACGGAAATGGAGCACATGGGAGCATGTCAACTTGCAACGACCGTTATTGCACAATCGCAAAAAACAAAGCGAAACTCATGTGACTTCTCAGAATCTTCCTGGCTGTGCCTGCTCTGAAATGCGGTCAAGGCGAGCTTCAATTCGATGAGAAATCTCCGTCACGTGCCAACCCTGTGGATGCAAATCCCGCACTGAGCCTCAAGGCGAAAAAGGGGCTCTCCTACACTGTCTACGTCAGCGGCCTGGCAATGTGATTCTGATGAGTGGACAAAACTCCTTCAACTAAAAGTGCTGTACAACCTAATAAGCAAACTTTAGTTTGTGCTTTTTTGGAAATAGGGGGTAGGCCGAGGTAGTAGCTAGGGAGTCGCTAGTAGAAGCTAGGTAGCTAGTAGAAGCAAACGGTAGCTATATAGTAGCTAACAAGTAGCTACGAGCATGGAAGCAGGATAGCTCACGCTTGCACTAATGACTTGGTTTCTAGATTTTCTAAGGGAAACTTAACATTCCGCCCCGATGAGTGAGTCTCCCGCCTGAGGGAGGGGAGGGTGGTTGCGGTGAGAGTGTTCTCCTGAGCTCATCCGGAAAACACATGCAAGCACCCAAATCAGGCAGTCACACATTGTCACTCGGTGAAAGGTGGAAGGTGCTGCATCCAATTCTGAAAGTTTTCCAAGTGACAGGTTGTTGCATATTGAAGCTCTATGTTCGTAACATGCTATGATATCTTGAGTGCTGCAGTTGCAGGGTGGGAGAAGTGTGGGCGTCAACATCGGGAGGATATCTTCAGAATAGCACAAGTTTCTGCAGATTTATCGAGGTCTGTGAGCGAGACTTTCATGAAAGGATTCTGCCCAAGGTTGTCAGGTCATGGCAGGCCCAGACTTCCCAGGCCCTCTGTGCAAAAAGAGGCTTCAAAAGAAAGTCTCCCGAGACTCGTGCAGCAAAGTTTGATGCAGGGCCCCCGTTTGGGAGTCTCCCACAGGGCCGGATACATTTCGCTCACGGTTTAACCGCCGATTGAAAGCTCTCATAAGCACTCTGTCTTTGCATTGGAGTCCTTGTCCATGCTTTAAAGAAGCGCTTTCGAACCAGATCAAGCCAGGCGGGTTTAGCTGTCCTTAGGATTCCTTAATGTAAGGAAATGGTGCTGTCCTTTTCAGAGCGTGTAATCATTAATGATTATATATTTAATGTAAATTAATGAAATCTTTGATGTCCCCACATGGCAAGCATAATGAAGCTCAATTACTCTCAATTGTATTATTTCCGTGGCTGAGCAAAGCTGCTCAACTGTGGTCTTCCCATACCCCACCCTTTATGTTTATCAAGTGCCAGCACTTTCACCTGGGACCGATGACCTATGGCTATGACCTACCAATTTTCACGTCATCCGCACATGCGCGGAATAACTTGCTTGCAGGCTGCGAAGATGGTGACCGGTTTCTGCCCTTCTCAGCCTTCTCAGCCTTCTCAGCCTTCGTCTGATCCAGATCGGAGCTTTCATCGAGAGATTGCACACGCCACGGCCTGGAAACGGTTTTCTTGCATGAATCAGGCCAACGAACATCCCAGATCCCAACATGCACGTCCGGTGAGCAGAAAACTGGGGATGGGGCATTGTGCCGGACGTGCGCAGTGAGTTCTTCAAGATTCTTCAAGTAACCAATGCTGTTGTGAGTTGCTTGCGTGACGGCCACAGGCACGTCGCGTGGTTGTGCTTGGCCTGCTGTAGAGGTTGTGAAGCTACCTGACCCCTTTGGACTGAGGTGCTTGGTCTGCTTTGCACATACGTTGGCATCTTGAGCCTTTCAAGCTGTTTTATCACCAGTCCGTGAAGCAGTGAACCAACATCAAGCACAGCCATCACAAATGGCAAACAAGCAAAGTCTCTGTGGAGCAAACAGATGTCGATTCGGACCGCTCTGCCCCTGCGGAAAAACATTGCAATGGTCTTTAGACACTCCTCATTGGCTGTGCCTTTTCCGATCTCATACGCCATTCATGTCACCATTGTCTCAATCTCAACTTAGTTCTGTTTGGCAATGCAATATAACACCACGACTTGAAACTTGACAAAGGCCTCTACAGTCTGCTAGCCCACGCCTGGATCTACTGAAAGCTCCTCAACCTAAGGCCGTAGGCCACATTTGCATCATGTCAATCTTCTAAGCTGCTCTGAGTCAGAAAGCCGCTCCAGCAAAGATCTCCTTGATAACCATCAGCCTAAGTCAGCCCCAATGTCACTCATTGTCCTGAGGTATTCCCATCCATTCTTGTGGGCAAAAATACTCACACTATGCACATTGAGGATATGCGCACCGACTTTTTACCACTGCCGCCCGCAACTCCAAACAAATTACAGTAAACATTTATCAACTGTGACATTCAAACGAGTCAAGCCTAGTGGTTTTCTGCCACTTTCAGAAAGTGTTCTTGGGTCAGGATGTTTTAGAAAACACGTGATTGAAATGAAAAAATCGTGCGTCACAAGCCATTTTGAGGCAGAAGTGCCTAGCAAGAAAAAAATCGTCAAACAGCAGGCAACTACAGTAAATGTGAACAATCTGCCTTAGGTAGAATAAAATGCCTCGTGCCCTTCAAGGTTAATTGATTGGAAAATTTGGAAGAATTTGAGGTGCTTCACACTTCAATTTCCCGGTGGCCTGTGTCCTACCCTGAGTAGGATGAAGGGCCCACCTGGCAAGCATTGACATAGGCTGAAAAGCGGCAAAGTCACAGACTGTTGCCCAAAGTGCACGTGTTTGCTGCCAAGTCGGCCAGTGATTCAGGTCCCTGCCTTGGGGTAGTCGCCGTCTTTGCTGGTCTTGAATGCCAACTTTGAGGCCTGCAAAACACCAAGCACTGAAACCAGCTGGAACCTTGCTGCGTCTTGCCACAGCGAAAAACACAGACCGGCCGTGATGAGCTGGGCCATCCAAGGCTCTGATTCCTTCCTGGAACCATGTTGAAGCAACACAATTCAGCACATTCCATGCGTACCTTATATGTTAATATGTATTCAGCCCTATGCAAATATTTATATGCAAAGATAAGACTGCACCGCTTTCAATGTCAAAGGCAACTGACTAGTGATTCCACTCATGGATTTGGACACGACTGAAGACCCCCCAACCAGGCGTACACGATATATGATATGTGCATATATATATATAAGCGGAAACGGATACTTCCTCATGCCCGTGTCCACAACCAGCCCACTGGACAGCACTCTGTCACCGGATCTTGATCCGCCTGACTGGCGTTGTTCTTTGAGCGTTCCGCTTGTTGGCGATAACATGAGCTCAAATTTGTGCTTTTGATTGCCGATCGGTCTGCCCACTTGTCACTTGTCCTGAAGCCTCCCTTCTGCTCGACAGTGGGGCGCCGGCCAATATGCGCAGCAAAAAAGAGATCAGGCACGAATCACACAGCCTGGCCATATCCTTTCATATACTACTCCCACGGCCCAGCACCGCCCAGCACTCCTGGAAACCATCGCAGCAAGTTGGGCTCGAAGAGCACCAGATCGCTGGAGAAAGTTTTCGAGCCATGCATCCTGGCTGTGGCGTTGGTTGCCATGATCGAATTTCACTGTTAAAACTTCTTCCATGGAAAGCCATATTGCGGAGCATGCACAAGCCAACCAAAAGCTGCGCCTTCTTTTCTTTGAGCTGGGCCTCTCACAGCCAGCACTTACAGTAATGCCATCACTTGTTGCCATGTGCGACCAAGTGCTGTGGTCCAACTCCCAACTGTCCTGGCCTTAATTGCCTTCTCATCCTTTGCTATTGCTGCATCAAGCTTCATCATTGCTTCCACACTGCAGCCCTTGGGGAGGAAGATCGAATGATTCAAATGATTCATTCACAGGGGTTGGACTTTAAGGATTCTGCGAGGTCGGTATTTTTAGTGTTTGCCTTTCGGGGGACTTGGCCACCCTGCATCCTCCAAGCAGCTTTCGATTGCAGTGATGCAGCCCTCATCACACTCAAGGACCTTGAGGCAAACAAAGGCATGAAGCCTTGACGGCCAATCCGCCAACTAGTTTCGTCTTTGATTTGAGCCGCCAACTGGCACATCCCAAGTGCTTTCTTTGGAGCTGCTGCTTCCTTTGGCCGGCTTCTTGGCTGAGGCCTTGGTTGGCGCCTTGGTCGGTGCCTTTGCTGGCGCCTTGGCTGGAGCCTTGGCTGGAGGCTTGACTGGTGCTGGTGCCTTGCTTGCCTCAGCTGTTGCCTCAGCTGCCTCTACCTGTTCCACGGCTCAAGCTGCACCTGCTTCCAAAGCGGAACTGTTCCAGCCTCTGGACCCTTGGCTGTGCCCCCCAAGAGGAAGTCGCGCAAATCCTCGAGAAGTGCAAGCAAGAAGCATCCAATCAAATCAGCTCATGCAATCCATAACGGGTACGCGGCAAGTGTGCAAATACTCAAATGCATATAGTCCTGGCTTTTGTCAACGTTTAGCTTGCCCGAGGCACCTTGCACCATCTCTTGTGCGCATTCTCCGCCATCAAGGTTCAGGTCTTTTGATAGTGAGCACAATTCCTTGCCGTGCCTCGAGGAAGCTTGCTCAGCGCCCGTCCTGGCAGCTTGTACTGCTTGAGCTACAAACGCCCCCTAAAAAGTTCTTCTCCTCGATGTGAAGGAAGTTGGACAAAGCTGCCTTTGTCAATGGTTGCTCTAGCAACATCGCTTTGTGCCTTTCTTTTGATAAGCCATTGATGTACCATTTAATGTCATCAAGGGTTATTCCCAGCATGGCCCAGCTAGACTATGATATACTGATATACTGAATGCATTGGCTTGGGCCCACTGCAGCCCTGTGGCCCCCTGCTGTGAAGATAGCAAGCCACGAGCATCACGAAGCCCAAACAGAACCTGAGTGCTGCAGAAATATTCAGACTATATATATATATATATTTTTGTGGAACGCTTTAGAACTATATATGCTTCCCAGGAGCAGGTTTTTGCTACCAGGACGTCCAAGAGCCATGGGGCCTCAGCAGTGTGCTCGAAAGGAGCACACCGAAGTTAAACACCTAGCAACATTCGATGGGGTTTCATACTCTTGTGCTACACGAAGGAGCAGCCTGCTCGGGAAGCTCACACCAACTACCCTTCTTTTTGAGGCAAAGGACTGCGGGAGTTCACATGCAAAATGTGTTGTCAGTCGCTGGCTACAAATGCTGCATAGGGCCTCCAACAGCCAAACGCTACGTGCCGAGCTCGTTCTCCTGCCGATCCGGCAGGCCTGCCACAGAGCTGTCCCCTGGACAGAAGCGTGGTGGCACCTTGCACCAGTTTGGTCAAAAGCGGCGTTGGTCTTGTTACTAGTAGTAAGAATGCTCCTAGTAGCGATGCCAGGAGCCCCTAGTAGCGTCCTTGCTCTTAGTAAGGCCAGGAGCCCCTAGTAACCCTAGTAGCTTCTTGTTAATGCAAAACATCGGGCATCTTCACCTGGAAAGGCGGTGGTTCCCAGCTGGATCGAGGTGCCTGAACCAAGACCGGGGCACATCAGCGGCGACGGAAGCGGCCTACTGACCGCTTGCAGCGCTTGGTTGTGGCAGGTCAGCCTTAACCAGCTGAGCTTGTGGCCTTTTTTGCCTTTGAATCTTGTCCTTGTCCTTTTGAGTCCTTTTTGTTCTTGTCATTCTTCTCCGTCTTCTCCTTTTGCTTCGAATCTTGCTTTGCCTCGCTCCCAAGCAAATACATTGCGGAGTTTGGTCCTACACTGTCCTACACTTCTCCTGGCTGCGGGTTTGCATTACGTCCATTTCAATTCGTTCATGTTCCTTCTCAGGGCACCGACATCGGGAGCATCATCCACTTCCATCCGTTACGGACTTGGTTCTGACCTCAGCATTTGGGTCATCAATTCACAACACACGGTGGTCATCTGGGCTCGTGGCCATGGCACCCACCCGTATCTCCATGAATCGTCACTGCATGTCACTAGATCTCCCACTGTTTCCGGTCACTGCACTTGTGCCCTGCAGTCCTAGTCTGTCTGGGTCTCAGCTATGGCCTCACTTCAGTAGGATTGTGGTCTGTGAGTCTGGATGTGCAAGCGTGCTTCCCTCCACACTTGATTAACTTTCCCATCTACGGTAATCATACCTCTAAGCCGAAATCCGGCTGCAAGATTAGACTCGACCCCAAGATAGGTGGAAACAAGAATGAATCCATAAAGGCAAGGAGCTAGGAGAGGCTCAATCCTAAGCAGTGATTGCCGCTGCATAAGCAAGAGTGGTGCCAACAAGATTGGCTTGGTGAGCATGAATCAACAAAGCACCGGAAAAAGATCAGCTGACAAACAATGCCAAACTTTAGCATCGGCTTGACCTTCCAATGAACTCTCAGCCTACAAGCCACCGTTTTCGGTGAGGGTGCAAACGTAGCCTGGCCGTGCCATCCCTCACAAACTCTCGCTTACAAGCGTGTTGAGTCCTCGACTTGGTTCACTCTTCGACCATGCTTGATGTATGCCAGGGCTGGCGCAGCCGATTATTGTGCAACATTGTGCATTTATAGCTTCCAACAAGCTGCTGGCCGGTGGCCTCATTGAAAGCATGTTGTGTGCATGACGACGGCCCGCAAGAAGTACTGTACAAAGCCACTGATCTACGTGGAATGCTCACTCTCTGTCTCTTCAGTCTCTGCAATTGGGGCACAGTGAGATCCTCAAGGGTTTCATCGCCCTATGGCCACCATGCGGCGATACAAAAATTTGTCTCGCATTGCTTGGCGGCAGTCCTGAGATGACCGAAGAAGTGCCCCATAGCTTTGCCCCATCCTCCTTCAGGAGGCCAAGTGCATCTGTCACCTTGGTTCGCTGGTTGGCATGGAAGTCACGCCAACATTCCAAATCCACATGGAATCTTGCAGGTCTGTGTCGGGTGCTGCTTCACTCACGCAATTGCAACTGAAAGGCTCTTCGAGAAGATTCTCGGATTTTCTTCTTATTTTCGTCTTCATCCTGAGGCGCTACACATGATTGGTTTTCCAGATTGCTGCTTTAAGCTGTATTCACTCAAAGTTAGGGCGCCGCGTATCGTTTTACGTCGTTTTACAACATTTGGTAGAATGAACATTGTATGTGTCGCTTTGCAGGCTTTACATGCTTCGCACTCTAGCCACCAACAATGAATCTGAATGTCACGGGCCGGAACAATCAAAATGCAAACACAAACGCACAAACAACAACACACAGGAACCTCTATTCGTGGTCACTCATGATCTGAGAGCATTCCTTGCAAACACTGGAAGTGTGACGAGCTCTGTGAAGTGAGGAAGGACAACAGCAGCGTTGGCAGAGGAGGGCTTCAGGAAGTGCAACATTGCTGGCATCTGCTTCTTTCCTGACCTGATCTCTTTCACCAGAAGACGCTAGCCTGCCTGCACCTTGGCAGATTTTCCCATGGGGCACTGTGTAGGGAGCTTCCCTTTTGCATTCTCTCGCGCGTCGTCGGGGTATCGATTTACGATGTTGATCATTTGTTACTATTTGTATGTTTTATGGTGTTCTATGACGTCAAAGCGAAAACAGCCCTTTTCCAAACCAAGACAGGCGAACTAAGGCGTGTACCATGTACTTTGTTCAGTGGTGGAACCTAGGCTTTCCTCATAGGCTGGGGCCAGCCCATGGGCCAAGAGCCAGGACACAGCCCTCCAAACACAAGCAATCACAATCCCTAATTGCGTGAGAATGCCTGTGACACTTGCAAGAGCAAACCAGTTCATGAGGTGACGCCCTTCAGACCCTTGAGCACACATGCTGAGAAGAGTTGCTGCAGCAGGAGGACATACCAAATGAACTCAAAAAACTAAAGGAAATAATGCATTTAACAATTGTGGTATCGTTTTTTGGACGTCCTGTATCGTTTTCCAAGGAAAGCTCGAAATCACACTCTTGGATAAAACACCCTTTGACAACTTGACAACGACTCACATGTGCTTTGGAATTGTGTTGTCACTTCCATGTCCTTCTATCACGCTCCTCTGTCACCAGGTCACATGTTTCACATGGCAAAGCAAAGCACGTTATTCATTGCGATAGTTCGATTAAGGCCACCTCCAGGTTCTCATCAGGGAAAATGTGCCGCAGGAACCTTTGCCGAAGCTGAGCATGTGTGGTCCACGAGGATGGGAGAAAAGCCGGTTTACAACCGCGGCGTTGACTGAGGTCGCCAGAATATCAAACCACTAGCGGTTTGAGCAACATGCAGCGAAGCTGCCGCCTATGACCAGTGATGGCGTCGCGACATAGCCACCCAAAGCCAACACAAGGCCCAAACAAAGCAGAGAAGTCACAAGGCATAGCTGGCTCAAACCCGATTTTGTGCAAAAAAATACTTTTCTGAATGCCTCAATGTGAAAGTAACTACCAACATGGTGGTCAGTCAAAACCTTTATATATAATACTTTATATCAATCTGTAAGGTGGATGAACAGCAACCACTGCAAAACCCTTGTCCCCCACTGTTGCAACGCTCAAAGGGAAACATGTGACCCGATGGGTGACGTGGCACTTGTTACTAGTAGTAACAAAAAGCTAGTAGTAACAAAAAAAAGCTAATAGCTTCTTTGTTACTACTAGTAAGGCACCTGTTACTACTAGCGTGGCACTTGTTACTACTAGCGTATTATACAGTTTGATACTCTTCAGTTGCTACGTCGTGTTCCACCCCCAGATGTCCACTCGTCCATTGATAATCACATAAGAAACCATCAAAGCCTGCTACAAAAAGTTCTAAACATGATTTGCCCATCTCCCAGGCCCGAGATACTCAAAGTAATCGATAGTCCCATTCCCATTGTCATCAAACCTGAGGTGCGCAGCATATTGATTTTCAAATCATTCAATGAGAAAGCTCTAGCCCTCTCTAATGACTAATCACCAATCACACAAATGTCCGGTGTCCTGCATGGTTGCCTTTGACTTCTTTGTGCTTGTACCAAACCAATCGAGGTGCAAGTTAAACAATTCAGTCGCAGTTTCCTCGGTAGTTTCGACTGCAGGTCAGGAGAACAAGCATCTACTGTATCTATGGATGCAATGCATAGGCATAGCCAAGGTGCCACTGTCATTCCAATTCGCAATTGATGTATCAATCTCAGTCTTCCAACCCAACTGGATCTCCCAAAAAACTATCCTCCCTGTCTAGCACGATGACGAGGATCTACAGCTTGTGTTTCATGTTGTCATAGGTTTGTCCTCTTGAAGGCGGCCATGAACAGCATGCAACTATATTGCAAGCAAGCGGCTCTATGAACTCATGTAAAGAAAGAACTCCATCGCCGTCAATGTCCACGTATTCAAAAAGTACCGCAAGCTGAGCGCCGTGTCGCACAAAAATCAAACAAATGCATATTCAGCTTTGGAGCAACTTCGAACAGCACAAAGAAATAGTGCAGGCAGGTCTGTAACCCACAGGACCCGTTTTGGCAAGAGACAATGCAAAGCGAGGAAACCTACCGGAGAGGCTCAAAGCTCGACACAATTGACATAGCTATGACAAGATCCAATATGAAGGCTAAACATAGGGGGAGGAAAAGATTCTGATACCTCGACAACAAGACGGCCTAATCCGCACAAAAATACCGTACACCATTCAACCGTAAAACAGAGCAGCAGCAGAAGCACAAGGCAAAATGATAAAGCGCCACGTGGGCACGAAGGTGACTTGTAACTTGTATTCAAGTTCAACATACATTGGCAAGTCACCTTCACTTGTTGCTCCCATTCTTTGCAACAAGCAACAAAAACCGTTGGCAGGTCTGTGGTCTGTTGATGTCATGTTACATTTATGGCATTGTAGTGTTCATATAAGATTTGTCGTGTTTTCTTAAGTAAGCCATCTCAAAACTATGCGGCCTTTGTGCATTCTTGTTCTATTCCTTTTACACACATGCACGACACCTTCCGCTCCTTGCTCCTCTAGATGTCACTGCTTCATCTGTTGAATGTCTCCACACCATGTGAGTTAAGTTCCCCCAGAAATCTAGGAAAGAAATCATTGCTGCGTGAGCAATCCTGCGCCCATATGTAGCCTAAGTAGCTAGGAGCGAACTTCTCCACTTAATTAAGTAGTGTGGGGGCGGAGCGGGCTAAACAAACTGTGTCCGCATCATGGCTCCCATACATCGGTCTACCCGTCCTTTGGACCTGTCATAGCTAGAGTGCTTACGCTGGCAAAAGGCTGGTGTGGCACTGGCAACTCCAAAACCCTAGGCGATTCCGCATGCTGCATGAATCAATATGAATCATTATGAGACGCCAAACCCTTGAGAGGATACACCTCCAAATGATTACATCAAACGCAAGCCAAACGACGTCTTTGGCTCCAAAGCCCCACTTCCAAAGGCATTTGCGCATCCGCGTGAGCAGCAGGACATAATTCCTGGTCTCCCAGCAGTGTGAAAATTCTCGGCCAATGATTCCCACCTGCCAAAATGCAGCTGGAACCAGTAGAGACAAAACGCATTTAGCTCACAAACTTGCTGACAAGCTGCTGGCATCGCCACAAAGCATGTGCTTATGAGCGATAGCATCCCCCTTAGACAGAACATGCGCTTCCTACTCTTTCTTCTTCCCTCCACATTCATTGAGGTGTCATGGAGATTTATATTTATATGTTCAAAGCTGGTAACTCGTGTAGGTCGAGCCCGCTGAATCTCAATGACATGGACCGAATACAGCAGCCTGTTTTGGATGTCTGTCATTCTGTCAGGAGATGGATATGCTCCAATGCTTTCCTTGCGGCCAAGGTGCACAAACACAAAGCCCCAAGCTGTTTTAGGAGTAAAGTCACCAAAGCCCACCGTCGTCATAGTCACGAGAGCAAGCCAGTGCGAGTGCGGCAAGCCTTGGGGCAATTAGGCAATCACTTGCACGTGGCTTCACTCCAGTTTGCCAGTACCCTCGGCAAGGATTCCGGTAAAGGCCACCCGTCACTGTTCACTTCTTCCTCTATTATCCATCATGATCAGCTTGCTATCGTTTGCATCCAAGCCACTCGGAATGTTGCTCCTGATGTCCAGCCAATGGTCTTCGACAAAGGCTAGGTGTCAAGAATACAATTTGGATGCGAAAGCTTTTGTCCTCTCTTCGGCGAGGTAGATTGCATTGGCAGCCACCAGCAAGATGAGAGCCATCCTCTCTCACAAAGCCAGTCGCTGCAAACTGCAACTGCAAATTTAACTTTGCATACCCATACTCATACTATTCCAACGTGCAGCCGCGGCACGTATAGACCATGACAGGCAACGATGCAAACCTACATTTTTACGTCTTGACGGACATGAGAAGAACAAAGACTGACTTGTTCCAAGAAGCGAATTGCGGCAGGCGTCCTAAGCAAGTTTCAAGTTCAATCATCAAACCACCTGGAAGGGTAACAAATCCCTTGTTCAGTATTTCTGTCAAGCAACGACTAGCAATCGGAAGGAGTCGAAGTAGCGCAATAACTTCAAGAGCCGCACCACCGGCACTATAAAAAGGAGAATCACCTGGGCAAATATGAAAGGTAAACATAAACAAGCATGCATAACTACAGACATGCAACGAGTTAATTCATCTACTCAAAAATCTCTCTACACAACCATCACTGCTTCAAACCTCTCTAGTTTTGGCATAGGTAACTTCAAGGTCCATCCAGCAAAAGCTTCGCAAGCGGTTACCAACCTTGATTCTTCTACCCAGCCTGGTTATATAACCTAATTGGTGACTATTGCCAAGTACTTGCAAAAGTGAGGGATAGTGAGGGAACCATACACCTGCTTAACTCAGTGTAGCTGATAAAGGCCGATGATTTCTCAGGGCTCCATTGGAGAAAACATTCAGTTCGGAAGGTCCAAACGGTTTCTCAATCCCCAAAAGCATGGTCTGTGCTCTGCATCTCACAAACCCATTCATGTTTGCCAGGTCGCTTGAACATTTCTTTCTTCCTCAGGCCAGAGTTACGGCTCAAAAGCAAGCTCAGCGAAAATTTCCTTGTGAACACGCTCTATTATATGAGTAATTCATTCTGCCATTTCTGAAGGTTGGCAGATAGTCTAGGCAAGTCACAAACGTGCTCAAGTGAAAAGTAAACAAGTCCGTACATGTATTATCTACCTACATATGATATACTTTGATATACTATATATATGCGTGATTATATATGTACAGTATTCATATCTTTGTGTGTGGTATGTGTGTGTGTGTGTTGGTTTCTTTATTTGTCTTGTCTGCATGCATCTCTTTTCCAACCTTCCTTTATATAAATCCCAAACCCACCTTTGGGCTGTGGCATCCAAAGGCTGTGACCTGCAAAGGACGTCTGGAGCTGTACAAGGTCCAAGGGGCCAAGACCTAGAGCATGCGGAAAGGGGAGAGGTGGATAGAGTTGGGACCAAGAAAAAGGGAAAAGTGCCGTGCCAATGTGCCAACGCCACTTTCCACACATTATACCGAGCAACCGCAATTTGGAGAGCGAAGGGCTGGTAGCGCATCCGGATGAACGAGCCAACAATGAACAATGCTCTCAAGAAGGTTGACGTTTGTGTCCACATGTCCCAAACACCATGTGAGAGTGAAGACGCCATCGGTCGCCGAGGGCCTGGCCACGGCGCGTGTGGCTGGAGGGGCTCGGTAGCATGGCCCAAATCAGACTCACGAGATGGTGGTTCTGGCCAGGATGCTTTGTCAAACAACAACCACGCTAAGCCATTGCGAGCGTCATCCATATACTGGCTTGTCAGTCTTGGCGGACCCCCATACTCTGCACCTTGAGAGTCGAGCACTTGATCATATTGGTTGTCAAACGAGCGTTGGCGGCGGGATGGGCCGACACAAAGCCACCGCGTTTGTTCCACCAGCCACCGGGGGGAAGCCTTCGAAAAATTAAAGGACGTGGGCTGGCCCAAGCCAGAGCGTATTCTCGTGCGGTGCCGGCTTTACTGCCTGTCTTGTGCCATCCTTGCGACCAAAAAGCCGAAGTGGTCGCCTTGAACCAAGGAGCTCACCAAGAAAGTGCAAGAATGGAACCACTGGGGTGTCACTGGCGCACAGTCACAAGTCAGCCAGTTTGGCTGAAATCGGTTCATGACAAGCCTGAGCCATAAACCTTGTGAAGCACGTGAATGAAGCAGCATGATGGGTAGGATGTGAGCGTGCAATTGGGGGGCCGCTGTCTTGAGAAGAATGCTGGCCCCAGTCAGGAGCACGCCGGTACAAAGGTACAGAATCATGGCAGGAACGCAATATGGGGATGACAGCATGTGGTATCATGATCATGCCTAACGCACCCGTGAGGAGGAAAAAAACTGTGTGCAAGGGCAAGGGTATGCCTGCCCATCTTCATGTGTGCATGTGTGCTGGCTGAAAATAGAGACCGAGGTTCGGTTGAGGAGGGAGGCCTCTGAATGACAAAGCCAATGCCTGCCTCAGCTCACAACAGTAAAAAGTGAAAACGGTTCTTGCAAGACGGTGCTCAAAAGCTCTCCAGTACATTACATTAGATGGACATGTGCGCTCACATGGCCGCATGGAGACAACACCGAACAAGCCCAAGGTGATAGAAAATCGAGGCATTACTGCATGCCAATAATGTAACATAATACAACTGATGGGCTCATTCTAGCCAAGCGGCCCGGAAGAAAAGAGCTGTCGTGGACAGAAGGTCGGCCCAATTGTAGGGATCCAGAATGAATGCATATCGCGATGGAGCTGTGAAGAGTCTAGCTCCAAACCTGAAATTGGCCGAAACGACCCTGCAAGTGAAGTCCTCTCCTTAAGTAGGTGAGACCTACCTTACAGTAATCGTCCTTCATCAACGCATGCAAAACCAGACTGCTACCACTGACAGTTGTGCCACAGGTGAACTTTGCAGAATTGATGGCACGTCCCATGTTCAAAGTTCAATCATCTTTGATCATCTTCGATCCAATTACATACACCAGCTGACCCCTGGCTCCTTGCTTGACTCTCCACATGGCCAAAACCTGTTGCTGGAGTCACTGAGCTTAGGAAGCGTGGAATCATCTGGTGGGTTCGAACCCATGTACCTCACTACTGCTATATAATACCGAATGCACTCAAATTGTCGTCCTAGCTGGGATCCCTATGCAACACAAAGACGTAAAATTGAACACTTTGTGCGAGCAGAACTAGGAGTCAAAGAGTACTTCAAAATGAGATCTGTGAAGTTGGAACCAACTTCCCGGCGCTGAGGAGATGTCCAGCTAGAAGCAGTGGCAGCTTCACAGCTTTACCTTCTTTCAAGGGCTGTGCTTAAAGGGGCGATGTTCCAACGCTCCTCCTCCCTCCCTCCTTGATTAAGTAGGCGCCTACTTAATTAAGTAAGGGAGAGGTTACTAGGAACCTGTTCGCTCCTAGGTAGGACGCAGGATAGCTCACTCTATTCATTTGGTTCCTAGATTTTGAAGGAAACTTGAGGGTTGGGAGCAGGTTTAGTAGAAAGAAACCCTTCCAGTAGAAAGCAACTCGAAAACGCCCCAGTACTTGCCACTGCTCTGAGCCTAGCCAAGTGGCTCCGTGATGTAAACGCTGTCGAAAATAGTCTCCAAAGCAGCTGCCAAGCCGGTGTCCAGGATTGGCTCCTAGCAGTGAAATCACTGCCCAATGTTCTCCGATCGTGACAGGAAGACGCCATCAGTTGTCCGTTGGCCCAAGCTTGCTAACAAAAAATAAATCTCATGGGCATGGGGGTCTTTCTGGGCTTGCGAGCAACTGATTTTCAACTCAGGGTTGTTACTGTTGTCTTTCACATGTTCTGCTCTAGGAGGTCACACTCCTTTTTCGTTTGGCCGTTTAGCATCCTCCCAAATCTGCAAATTCGAAATAATTACGCTGAACACTGTCATTACCTTAGTCCACGTTGAGCTGTGCTGCCTTTGAAATGCACCACTGTTCACATAATACAGCTCTTCAGACCTAAGAACCTACCAATGCCGCAAAGCGACCTTGAAGAGAAACGAGATCCACCATGCTAAGCCTTGGCGCCGCCAAAGTGTGTATACTATTGACGCTATGCAAGATTCAGTGAACAAGTGGAGTATGTCGTTCCTCCAGCCTCCACAGAACACTCCGGCTTTGATAATATAATCACATACGCCCTATCCACTATACATCTCGCAACGAAGCTACATAGCTGCTTGCCAAGTGGCGACTGCTTTCAGGATCGTCCAAGAGCTCCCAAACATACTCGGAGCGTGTTCGTTCTTAGCTTAGCAGGCGACGCAGAACGAGATGAATGAGCACCTTTCACCGTGGCAGTTGTAAAACTGTTACAGTCTTAAGGGCCTTTATTCAAGTTCGCCTTTCTCTTGTTTAAGTTTATTGACCTGCTCCATTCGCCACACTCATGCCAAGTTCAAACATCCTTGCGATTTCACTACCACAACTGCCAAACGACTATCAGCAACAGCTGTCTGCCGAACTCCCTCAAGCAAACGCATTCAGCCATGAGGCTGACCAAGCGCATCATCGGGCTGACAATGTGCGCTTCTGCTTCCTGTCAGACTGGGCCGAGGACCGCGCAGGAGGAAGCATGTGGCACTCGAACTGCTGGTAATGAGAAAACCTTTATATAAATATTGCATTATATGATTATATATATATAATGAGACTTGCAACTCCTCACCTCCGTTGCTGGCTTTTGGCTATCATCACTGATGTGCCATGCAACTTTGAAATCAACCCGTCTCACCTTAGCGGAGCAAAGTTCGCAACAGGCCCAAGAACACCCCAAGAACATCACAGCCCTCTACTACAGCCCTTTGACTGAAAGGCTTTCATCAGGCGCAGCGCATCATTTTCCCAAAGGATGTATGGGGGTGCTTGGCTTAGGCTGAGGATTTGGGAGCATCAAACTGTTGGAGCTCTTTGGTTCAAGGCCGGGTTTCAGCCCCTGAGCCCTTGACAAGTGTCTGATTCAAACGGATGACAAAGCTGCATTAACGCAGTATGTTGTCGTAAATGTGTCGGAAAAGGAGTTTTGGCAAGCTGTCGCTGCCACATAATAGGTCGCTACCAGGAGCTTGCTTCCAGTCACCAGTATGGGTGTCCGTCAAAATGTTGGAATGCAGCCAAGAAATGTTACCGAGGCCCTTCTTGGCATGGCCAAGTGGCCAAGAAGCAAAAAACAATCCATGAACCATGAAATCACAGCAGGTGCGCGCGCACACACACACAGAGTAATACCTCAGACGTGTTCGCGGTGATACTTCGCTGGGCGGTGTTGAACGTAAACCGATTGTGTGAGAAAATGTACCTGTACAGCAGGCAATCAGGACCGAAGTTGTGCCCCTAGTTGCAATGACGCTCTCCTTGCCATCAGAAAAACCATGGAATGCTTACGATAACCCAAAGCAGCACATCTCCGATGACATGTTACGTTGCCGGATGACTTCCATGGTGCCTTGCTTGAGCATGCCATGGTCAGGGAGTTCCACCGTGAGTGCGTGCTCTTGGTCAATCGTGACACTTTGATAGTTAGGTATGGGCATTGCTCTCCTCAGTACGCGAGGCGCGCCCAACAGCTGGTGGCTCATGTCCACCCGTCCCTATGGACCGGATCCATGATTGCCTGGAGTTCTTGCAGCTCGGAATCATAGACTGGGCTACTGGTCAGTGGTGATGATGTCTTGACTTTCTGGTCTACGAACTGATGGATTCAATGGCATGGCGAGCAAACTAGTCGCGTCGACTGGCATGGCAAGCTACTCTTGCTGAGGCACGCCAACATTATTGTCAAAGTGCCTCCTGCACTTTGTCAAGCCATCACAGCATGCCTAGATTTCTATTTTTGCATATTACGTGTAATTGCAAGTATGCTGGTGACCTTTTCGGTCCTGGCCTAAGTTTTTGCGATCTGAAAATGTGCATCTAGTGACCGTAGTCGCAACCGTGACGATGTGTTTTCACTCCGCACGTGCCAAATAGTGCACTCTGAGAATGCAACAAGTAATCGTTCAACGAAACTCTGATACAACGAACCGAACATGTTGAAAACTTGACATAAAAATGTTGACTCTCTCTCTCTCTCTCTGTGACCCTCTCTCTCTAAATATATATATTTACATATATACATGCATTCCACACACACAAATACATATTATATATATTGTATATAGCTGTAAGTGCAGGTAATGAATTAATAAATGAATCATGGCAAGCCCTAATTCTAGAATATGTGGACTTGCTTCCTTGTGCAACTGTAGCAGCTACATTAGACATGGAAAATGCCGGCCTTGGCCGCACACGAGCACACAGGCAACAATCAATCACCCAGCACCGCCAACAGCAGCCAATGCCGCCAAGTGCACGGGCATCACTTTCCTCGATCTCGAGGACCGCGCTACCTCTGCCTCGCACTTCACTGCAAAGAGGCAAAGCCAAGAATAATGGATGATGACCAGCAAATTACAATATATAATCAATATAAGGCATTACCTCTCCGTGTGACACACACACACACACTAGCGTGAATCGATCTGCACCAAATCAAAAACCTTCTTGACTGGTGGCGTTGCCCCTTTACAGGTCGCCACGGCACACCCGCTGTGGCCCAGGTGCTCTTGACAATCGACTTCCCAATCGACTTGAAGCATTTGATAGTCTGCTGTGTCTAGTTGTGCGGAGTGCCTTGGATCTCGGGTTCGGCTGTTATGTCTGGTGCAGTTGACATACCGCTGATAATGCTGATATATCTAAGAATAGGGTACATAGATTGAATCCAAGCATCCTGATATTCACGAGACTCGGCCTCGGAAAGCAATGCTCAGCTGCTTGGCTTAGCTATTGCCAGGGCTCTACCACCAAGCGGCAGCAGATACAACAGAGCCACGGTCAGCACCATAGAATACCTTGAATTGCCGAAGGCATCGGGTGCGCTCCGTTGCTTGGCATCACCTTTTGATTTGCCAAGCCGCGGAATCCATTGATGCCCGTGATGTACCATTGAGTGGGGCGTCCACGCTTGAAAGGCGTCCACTGCCATAGGAGGTAGCATCTGTAGATTGTCTTGGAGTGCCAAGGGCTGGCAGCGCTGGCATCGACTTGGAAGCCACAGCTGGCATGACATCCAGCATCCCCAGTGTGGAGACACTTCCTAGCAAAAGCACTGCAAGGAAACATTCCAGTGACTCATTAATATATTTACATACGGGACGGTAATGGCACGATGGAATAGAATTAGCTCCAGCGCAATGGGTGCTCTTGTCTCTGCGGTCGTCATGCTCTCTCTCTCTCTCTCAGCTGCCCGAATTTGGTTTGTATGTGCCAGATTGCGCCTGAAGTGGAGGTAGTTTCTCAAGCATAGAAAGGCTCATCGAAACATGAACAAAGTACGAGTATATCAGATATAGCATGGCATGGTTGAAACAGCATGAGTCGAGAGCAAGCAACAGCATGGTCACAAAAGCAAAGATTCAAGAACCAATTCCTGAGCTTACAGCCCGAATTCGTCTCCCTATCGCCTTTCTTCAGGACTGCTCCAGATCCCTCCAAACCCTCCTCCTCCAACACCTTCATCCTTTAGCAGAATGAATCCCCAAGTTGTCGCTGTTGAGGAGACACGTGTATGATGTATCGGAAGCTATAACAGGCAACTTGCTGCATCCTTGCCCAAGTGGTTCTAGACATGATGACGTCAATCTTGCAAGTGACACGCTGACCGCTCGGCCGCTAGAACTTTCCCACCTGGGCGCAACCCCAATTCCCTCAGAGATTGGTGGTCCACTGCACTCTAAACAGTTCTCAGAAATCAAAATAACTATATATATATATATACAGTATATAAGTTGGAATTCTATCCCCCGGCCCTACTTGTCCTCGCAATCCAGCCAATCGGGATGAGGGTGTTGTTGAGCTGATGGACCCAGAAGGTGTTCGGTGGTGAGCTCCAATTTGCAATCGCAAGATCTCAGCGAGGCAATCCTCAACCTGCGGTCACCAGCTTCAAATTTGTATGCCAATGACAGGCTGCTCCAGTACTAGTTTTACACTCCAGCATCTGCCCATGACATCATTCATATGAAGGCGAAGGTGACCTTCTCAGAAAGCAGGTCCAAACGAAGCTCAATGTCCGCGAAGCAGCGGACCTCACCTGCACAGTTCGGTTGCAGTTGCACAAGGGATCAAAGGGTTTCAAGCGGCCGTTTTTGTGTATTCTGTCCCCCCCTCCCTCCCTCTCTCTCTCTCTCTCTCTCGACTCTGGCGGGCATGACTCGTCCCGGAGTCGTCTCACAGAGACGCCCAACGGCAACTTCCCCTAAAGGTCGGAGACGCAGGGGCAAAACGGAACCAATATGGGAGACTAAGATCGAAAATGCAGGACATCTGCCCCGTATGCCTCGCTCTTCCCGCATCCTGGTAGGAGACCCCTTTGGAGTGAGCCCAGGAGGCGGAGGCGACCTGAAAAGGCACATTTAGTACGTTCGTGTGCATCTATTGCCTTCCCTGAGGCAGCTGCGAGACCCCCACAGCAGCCATGGCTGTCCTAATGTCCCAATGTGCTACCTCCTCTGTTTTGAGAGAACCGTCTGCACGGGTATTGTTCCCACGCGGTATATACACAGCATGATTTGGATCTATTGTGCTACGTTGATCGGCGGGTGGCTTGCATGTACAAGTGCTGGGCTTTGTACAATTCAATTGATTACGCAGCATACAAGAGATAGCGGAGATAGCGATGGAGCTGTGCTTTGCTACTTGAGTGGAGTGGATATGCCAGGTCCGATCCCGCTTCAAGGAACAAGCAGCTTAGAGTCCTGGAGGGGGGATCTGTTCCTACGGAATTGTGATGTGAGCAACTAGCTTTCCCGTTCGACACAGTCCTATAAGATCCTATATATATACGACTCCCCAACGCTCGCATCTCTCACTTTTCTTCCTGTGTCCATCTTGCACGTGTCCGACGACTGGTGAGTATCTCACCAGTACTGTGTGGTAGTCGGGCGCCTCTGCGAGGCAGCCAGAAGAAGGAGCGCCCTAACATCTGGCTTCTCCACTTTGCATACTCTTCGAATCGATCCATACTTTGGCATTTTATTGAACATTCAACATTCCAAACAGCGTAGTCACCACATTTGTCTATTGTCTATGACAAGCACAGCAAAGGCAACAATAATTGGCACAAACCCCTTCAATCATCTTCAATCCTGGTCCCGGTCTGCATATCAAATTCCACAAGCAAGGCCCAAGTCTTTCTCCTCACTTCAAATCTGACTGATTAAGTGCCTCTGATGGAGCATGTGTCCATCCTGCTTCAACAAAAAATCTGTGGCGAACAAGGAAGGTACTCCCCTGCAGATTAACATAGATATCATTGCATAGATTAACATGGAACCCTAAAGCCACTTGGTTGCAAAGAAAAATGGTCTTCCATGGGTCAATTCTCAGGTTCCATCGTATTGCAGTACGACTCATCCCCTGGTTGCTCACATTTTGTGAAGCTGGTCGGCATGACTTGCAAAGGCAACTCCATCCAATTCTGGAGTCGCATCATTCTCATCGTGAGAATACTGCTATCTTTGCACCAAGTATCTGAACATCTCATCTTGCATTTTCCAGGTTGTTCTTTGCATTCTTCTGATCCTTCCAGAAGGCCAGAAGCATACAATCTCCCCATGTCAAGGTAGCAAGTAGCAAGTGCGTGTTCCAAGTTCCCACAACCCCCAAGAAGGCCCAAGGTGCTGCTGCTCTGAACTCCTTTTTCCAACCAAGAAAGCACATGCACCGATTCACTGGCAGTGACTCATATCATATACTGCCTGAGACGTCCAGCTTCTGCCAGCCCTGACAAAAGGGTCATAGGTTTTGTCTGCCCACCTCTCCCTCTCTCTCTCTCTCTCACTCTCTCGTTTTAGAAGCTATGGTGATGGAGCTCCTAAGTCAGCGTGTATCATCAAGCAGCATCACCGGTCCTTACTGTCGCACGTATTTTGCTGGTCCCGAATGTAGTCCTTCAATGTCAGCTGGGTCAAGAAGGTTGAGAGTTAGAATTTAGATGAATTAACTTGAATTAAGAGTAGGCTGGGCTGACTTTCTTGTTTGATTCACAGCAGGCCAAAGCCTATCATTCCTGCTAGCCTCGGCAGGCTTGCGCCAGGAGTTGAAGAAACGTGCCCCACCACCACGCACCAACCACTGTATGTAATCCTGCAAGAGTTCAGCACATTGAATTTGTGGCGATCCTAGAAAAAGAGTTGACCAGTCCTGTTGGCCAGTAACAAGGAAACGAACAAAGTTATCCTTGACCACATCCACGAGCATGCCGTGGAAGACCTTAGACGGCACTGGCTTGATGTGTCGGATCACAATGCCATCCCCGATCCTTGGACATCCAAGCTGCCACAATGCAACGGGCCAAGAGAACGTACTCATCAGGCACCACAGGAGTGATGATCCCCACGGAATTCTTGGCCTTTAGGCCTGAACCCAGGTACAAGTGCACTGCGCTTGGCGCATACTCAGGAGATCGTTGGTTAATATTATGTTTTGATCATTTTGATCTGTTTGATTGTCTGTTCGAATCCCCGTTGAAATGGCTTCTCAGTGCACTTCACATCAAGCAGCTTGCTTCGAAGCAAGCCCCACTGACCCAACAGTTGAAGCGACATCAACAACACAACTAGTCACCAGCATATAATGTAACTTGACAAATTGAAGAGGTCTCGGGCACTGCCTAGCACTGCAGCCATCAAAATGTCGGAGTCATATAGGGAGGCAGCGACGGCAAGCTGCGCTGTCGCCTGGTTTCCACCACATCCTTGTTTAGGTGAGAAACAAGAATACAAGCTCAGGTTCCCGCAGCGTCCATAAGCATGTTCCTTGGAGTGTCACGGACCTTTCCAAGCCAAACCCTCACTGGTCGCCGGTTGAGACTACTCAATGCCACCAAAGTCTCGCATGCGAGGGGCTCAGTTGACGAATCTCTATCCGGCTCTCAGGCTCAAAAGTTGCGAACTGATCACTGCCTGCCCCATGCATACTCAGACTGCGCGGAACTGCGTGGGGGGAGTCAGGGAGGTCATTTAGTTGAGTAGACACACCTGTCCAAGCCAGCTCGTCTTGAATCATCCCACCTGGCGTTTCACCAACATTCGGGTCCTCATCCAAGTTGTACGTCTTGTTGTCAGGCATTTTCACTAAACCTGAGATGATCAGGTCTCTCTCAAAGAAGCACTTCAAAGAGCATGATTCTTGGCTGAGAAACGCTTTCCATCTTTTGTCTCCACCATGAGCTTGAGCTGTGTGTACAGGCCTTGGAAGGCAGCTACGCTTTAATCATGCATCCTTGCTCCAAATAGGCCCACAAAGCTAATGAATCGTTGTGGCTCAGGGCTCAACGCAACCTGGTGTTTTGAGCAGCGAAGCTGGATATTTTACAGAGCCAAGCAGCCCCAATTGATGAAGGTTTCTGCTCCATCTTGTTGGACACAGCCTCTGGGCCAAGAAATGAACTATTCAGGTAGCTGGGTGGAGACTACAGGCCACAAAGTGTTGGGCACATCTCTGAAAATTGCTCTCAGCAAAACCACCCAACCAACTGCCAAGTTGCTAAGCTGCCTTTTGCCATTGTCCGTCCAATTGGACATGCTCGTCTCATCCTATTTTGATTTTCACACAGCTCTTGACTCTCTACTAAAAAGAACGGTCCTCGCTCAGTGGTGCTTCCGGCACCACCACGGTGTCCTGCTGTGCTTTTACGGGCAAAAACACAAAGACATGTGAATTCTTAATGCTGTTGTCACGTGTCCTTAGCCTTACAACCAAAATTCAAGCGCAATCCCATCTTGGCTGCCGCAAAAGAATACGCCTGCAGGACATATCTACAAGCTTAAAAACTATTTTGGAAAATTCGATACGAAGCATCAAAACTGAAAAAGCTTGTGGATTGAAAGCAAGCTGCATTGGTTCGAGATGGTAGGTCACCTTGGCTTTTGCAAGGTCTGAAGCCGCAAAGGCTTCAATCTCATTGTGTCCAATGCCGGTTCTTCTGCAAACATGTTTCTGCCTGGCCACAGCTGAAATCTGCCTTCTTGATGGTGATGACGTTGGTTCTGCGCCATTTCCTTTCGGAGCCCTTAGTAACTTAGGCTGACGCAGGGTCAGGAAAAGTATCATCCTCCCGTTATCCCACAAGCTCCAAAAGCTCCAAGAACTCGGCATCGCTAATTTGTTGCCAAAGCGGCGTCGTCATTGTACATTCTCCACTTCATGGGGCCCTGCTGAATCACGTCGTTCATGTTGGTAATTTTGGTCTCCAAAGACTTAGGTGTCAATGACTTGCAGCAAAGAGCATTGAAGCTTACATGCTTAGCCAAGATCGTCATTGGACGGGGTTGACCTGGATCCCTGGTGTTTATGTAGAATAAGAAGCGTCTTCCGTTCTGAATTCAGCCCAGCGTCAGCGATAGTTGAAGTTAGGTCCTCCAAGTTCACTGTTTCTCACTGCTCACGGAGAGACATTTCACACTATACCACACAATGGCATGCCCTGCCCGCCCTCCTTCCCATACAAGAGCGACCATACTGCATCAAAAGGAAAAGTGACATTCTGATAAAAATGTGCAATTATACTTGTAGACTTATAGATAGTGATCCTGGAGCAAGGACGGACAAGACTTGAAAAAAATGTTCTCATCTCAAACATTGTAAAATCAGGCTAAATCAGTGGTCAGTTATGGCTTGGTTGCAAGAACAGACCTCCTTTGGCAACGCATGTGCATCATGTTTGTGTTTTTGCTCCCCTGTCGTGTTGCCCGTTGCTTTTCAGAGGCGCAAAGCCAGCAAGGAAGGGAGGGAGCAAGGGAGCGAGGGAGAGGGAGGGAAACAAACAGAAAACAGACCGACACGCTGGCAGATAAACAAACAAACACGAAGAAAGCAAAACAGAACGAACGGAACGAATGAAAAGGAAAGGAACAAAAGGGAAACAGGGGCAAAGACACAAACAGACAGACAAACAAACAGACGGACAAACAAACAAACAAACAGCCAGCCAGCCAGGGAGGGAGCAGGTGTGAAATTTGGCATCTGGAATTACAATCCACATTGCTAGTCCAATTTTGTCCAAGCCATTAGTGTCATCACAATTGATTGCACCTATATTGAAGCTTCAGCGTTCAGTAATTAGCGCTAAATCATGATTTGTTGTTCTGTTGCGAAGATGATGCGTCGACAACTCATGAAGCAAATGAAAACAACAAGAGAGAGAGAGAGAGGACAAAAAAATCAGCCTGCAAATGAAATGAAGCATTCTACCTGGGGACGTCAATTGAATGGGGTTGTCATGACACAATCGGAATTCAATGGATTTCATTTTTAAACATTTGGCACGGTTCGGTTGAAACGATTGATTCTGAGCTCCGGAGTCCGAGATTGCCGTAAGCCGTAAGTTCATGGCGCGTTACCTGCTACACTTCCACAATCGCACTGTCAAATGCGCCAACCTTGATTGACGACAGTAACTGAAATCTCCTGCGCGCCCGGCTTTTCTTTCACAATCCTCCACTTGCCCTCATCATTGTAGAAAAGCCTAGCGATCCGGACTCTGGCTAGTGCTTCTTTGGAAGCAAACTGGTCCAGCAAAGCTTGGTTCAAGTGTCACTGACAACTTGCATACCATTTGTTTTACACGTGATTTGTCAGAAACATCGCTCTACCCCGCCTGTAGCCCAATTTCTCATGCTTATAGGCCACCCCATACGTGCGGCCAAACAGCAATGCCTGAGGAAGGCTGCGGTTGCTAGAGGCGGCAAGCCCTGCAAGGCTACAAGCCCTACACCCTACAAGCCCAGACTTGCATCATTGCGCACCGTCTCATCCTTTTCTGCTTCATAGATAGAGAAGCCTGCCAAACTATTGCCTTTCCCCCCAACAGCGCAGCACTGCACAGCAATTGCAACCAAAGCGAACACAAATCTTCTCAGACCTGCTCGCTTGTAAACTCCAGAAACCTTCAAAGGACCCTCCACACGCACGGACTCGCAGTTGTTCCAGGCCTGCCACCATACAGACAGCTTGACTCTTCACTCTGTGGGAACGTGACAAAAGGATCAAACAGTTTCTAAAAATGTGTAGATATGTGTAGACTGTGTAGACGTCTAATACATTGTTCGGTTCCTGTATAAACACTCAGTGGACATGAAGGTTCAGGAAATCTTGAGGGAAAACCATTGAAATCCGATGAAAACTAGTGAACGGTGAACACATTTGCCGTAAAAAGCCTTCCATGCCTCCACCAACCTGCCAAGGTGTGCATACAGGTTCGCAAGCTTACAGTGGGTCTCCCCATCCTTGAGGCGAGGCACGTCTACAAAAGCCAGTTCACATGCCACAAGCAGAAGATGGCCAGTGGACTAAGATTGTCGCAAGTTGACCAACGCCACCCCAGTCAATCAGTGTCACAGTCTTGGTGACAGGCTCCCAGAACCTGAACGACAAAAGCCAATTCAAGTGGCCAAAAACACCGAAACTGGCCAAGGCCATTCATGCAAAGATGAAAAACATGTGCAATCAGCACTGTTTGATCTTTGCATCAGTCAGACTTGAGTCACCGTGTGGGACACCCCAAGTGGCGCAAGCAATGCCAAGCACAAAAACCCCTTCATCCAACACATGCCGCGACAGGAAGGCTTGTCGCCGAGCCCTGGCCCCAGGCTGGACAAAGGCTGCCGTGCTGCCCTAGCTGCTCTGCTCAGACTGCCCTGGCACATCTCGAGGTTCTCCGCACTAAATTCAATTCTGTTTACGCTTCGGTATGCTGATGCGAGGCTGGCAGAGATTTCAGGCGGGTATCCTCTCAGTATCACAGAGTGTTGTCGGTTTGCCTGCACACCGTTATGTCAGCCGTGTAGGATGTTCATCGCTGATGTGAGACCAGAATGTTTTATGTCAGAGTAGGAATGCTTCGAATGTGCCGCGCTGCAGCAATTCCAGTGGTTACCGCCATCAAAGAATTCTGCACCAGTTTAGCTGCCTTGGGCCGGCTACAGAGGCAGCAGGTGACGCTGGAAAGGAAGGTAAAATTGGATTACATAAGTGAGGTAGGCCAAACATCCAAATCCGGCCGCACCGAAAGCGCTGAGGCGTTGAACTGTAGCTAGCACATGAGCCGCAAGAAAAGTCTTAGCTAGGGGGCGGGGCATTTCGTTTGGTTGCGAAAATGCATATTCCGCATCATGAGGTATGTCTCGGCGAGGTGTGGGGGTGGGAGAAAATATGGGAAAACGTATGGTTTTCACATATCATCTAGGCCTGACTATATTTTTCATTGTTGTACCATGTACGGCACCACGTCCACGAAAGGCAAACAGAGGACTCCTCTCATCAACAGTCTATATGTCTAAAAATACCTTTCATGATTGCATCATCTGCATCAGGTGGTTGCGATCGTAGAGTTTACTTTTGTAGCGTGTATATATATATATATATATGTTCGTTGCCAGTGTATAGTTTATTGCGCTAGATGTTTGCAAGTTTATATGTTTGGACCCCTTGAAAAATGTACAATTTCAAGGTTGTCGAAAAATATATCCAAAAGTGCTTGCAAACAATGTGCAGTTGTAAGCGGGCCAAGTATAGCAACGACATTTCTATATATACTATCATCCACTTCATGTTCATCTCCAAATTTTGTGTCGAGCCTGCACGTTGTATAATTTCTTGCATTGTTTTCAACCACCATGAAAATGTACAGTTCTTTCGGGGGGGCAAGTTATATCCAACAATGCTTGCACATGAATATAATTTGGACCCCCTGAACAATGTACAATTTCAGAGACGACGAAAAATAGACCAAACAATGCTTGCAAGTCGACAAAGCAGTCCAAGAATAGGGTGATTAATTTTCTTCGCTTCATCTTCGTGCTGCGTTCATCTCTAAGTCTCGTCTCGACCATGCAGGCTGTATAGTTTATTGTACATTGTGCATAATCACTCTGTTTTGGGACCCCGTTGAAAATGAACAGCCATAACTAGGCAATGTATCAAAGCGTCCAACAATAGAGTGATTATAGATACTTCTTTTACCCTCTCTCTGGGAGCCACTGGTCCAGGCAGCTGTCGTCGCGAAGCGGCCTGAATATGCACAGTAATGGAGGAGCGCCACAAAAGCGGACAGGGTTATATAAGGGCTGCATATCGTTGCCTACAACTCTAGGATGGTGGACAATTGGCCGTCAAAGCCACCAAAAAGATACCTGTGAGTACTGACGGCTGACCTGGGTGCCTTGCAAAATAAGAAATCCTAGGAAAGTCCGATTCGCAAGATTTATGAAGTCCTGTAGTCGAGGCTCACGTTTCCAAAATTTAGCTTCCATAAAATCCTGTCATAGGAACATTGAACTCCCCGGAGAAACAGTCCTAGATCTTGGTGGGTTTCTTCCCCACGTCATCCCCCAGACTGAAACAGTATTGACTTATGAATTCCTGGTGCCAAAAAACATTGAAAATGCCACACAGAAAAAATGCCACACTGAAAATAGTCCGAGTCCTGAAACCCAGGTAGTTCACCAGTGGACCCACCACAAAAAAATATACCTGACAAGGGAGCCAGCCTCTCGCTTAGGGGTGCCCTGCAGGCCTGGGCAAAGACTTGGTGCAAGAGGAAGTGATGGGGTCGGGCAAAGATGAATTTCATGGGCTGAAGTTGACACCGCAGGCACACTGATAGGGAGGTAGAAATAGAAGGTAGAAGACATAGGTTTGGGGGGGTGCCCTTTTTTGTCCCGGTTCAGGGGCGATTTGGAGGTAGGACGGCGTGCTGCGAATCAGTGAGTTCCATGTGCGAGGCTATGGGTAGGGTAGGTGAGGATACATATATGTATGTAGGTAGAGTGGTCGAAGAGTAGCCGGAAGTGGTGAGGTTGATATTGTGTAAGATGAAGTGATCGGCAAACATTGGGTAAAGACTACGTTTATGGGGGGAAGTTGGCATCACAGGTACGCGATAGGAGGTAGAAGCAGAAGGTAGAATTAAAAGGGTGGTGACCTTTTTTGTCCTGGTTCAGGAGTGTTTTACAAGTGACCCTCAATCATTTTATGTGAGTTTGTCGGCTGCGTGGTGCTAATGAGTGACCAAAGACGGTCGTGGGGGGCCTGTGGGCGAGGCTATCGGCAGGCTTTCGTGAGGATATATATATATGTCAATATAGAGAGAGTGGACAAAGAGGAGCTGGAAGTGGTGAAGTGGAGGTGGCCGTCACTCGAGAAAGAATGGAAATAGAGAGTAGAATACATAGGTTTGGGACGGGGCGCCCTTTTGCGTCTTGATGTCGGGGCGTTGTGGAGGAGAAAAAGGGCACCCCTAAGCAATTCAAAACCTTCCGCCTCCAACGCTTGCCTGCTGCAATCTCTTCTCTCTCCTGCCCTCAACAACCCCCCAATCCACATGAACTCCCCCCGCATAGGGCGCGCCCTCTTCAGTCCGGCAGCAACGCTAAGCTTAGCCCCAACTACGGCTTGTTCTCTTTCCATAGCCTCCTGAGCCCCGCATGATGCTGATGATGCACTACTGGCCGTCAATTACATCACCGGCATCACAACACCCCAAAAAACACTCATTTTCACTACCAAGTGGCCCACCTCTTTCTTTTTTCGCTCTCCCCCACCAGGCTCTGGCTTCACCTCGCCGAAATTCACCCCCCCCACCCCCTTTAACTCACTTCGTTCGCTCCATCTACCTCAAGCCTTGCCTATCGGCTAGCTTTCGTCAAAACCAGGACACCTGGTTGACCACCGAAAATGAACAGAATAACAATACACTACTGGGGAGGTCAACCAACTAAGGGGTCCCGGTATATAAACTACATTATAACATATAAACTATAATATAAATATATATATATATTACAATATATGTTAACTTTTATAAGATCCTGATGGATGGGATTATGATGGATATAGCAAACACTTATGAAGTCCTCAATCCTAGGCCCATGTGCCATATTAGGGGACCTTAGGTTTTTATATATAAAGGACGTATGAGGGTTCTTCAGGTGGAGTTTGCAGACATCTAGCAGTACTGCAGGGAAATTGCCGAAGAGGACGAGGATCTGAGAGCCCAATAGACAAACAAGGAAGAAAATAACACGTGTCTCGAAGCTGCAAAATCTGATTGCAAGTCCACAGAAGGGATTCACGCATTTAAAGGGCAAATCCACGAGACGTGATAAGTTACAAGCAACAAATGAGAGGCCTTCAAAGAACATCAAGAACAAGGAGGACATCCAAACAACATAAGACCACCCGAGATAGAATGGATGAGGGGTGGAGATGAGGAAGAGGAAGCTCTGATAGCAAAGAGCTGAGGAGAGCCTTGGCGGTGCCGGTCTCACGCCGGGGCTGTGCGGTGCCGAAAACCGCTCCAAGCCACCACACAAAGCACATCCAAGACCTAAGTCCTGTTAAAACCCAGGGGTGTGAGATGGTTCGAGCAGTTCATGTCCCTTGGCCAACAATGGTGCCAGGGCAGAATGCCCCAGCTCATGGAGTTGGTGCCACACAAAAAAAGAAAGACTTCTTTTTTGAACAATCCGTTGAAGTCTGTCGGGGGATGGATCCAAAAGTGCACGTGGAAAACGCTTGCACAAAGGTCAGGAATGTAGATCACAGCGTAGAGTCGATTATGCCATGGCAAATAGTATTCAATGAAGGAATTTAGGAACGTATTCCCTCTGCTCGTGCCAAAGTCTGTGAGATGTTTGACTTTGGTATGCTTTGTCTGGACAGCATGTGCAGGGGCATGTGCTGTTCCAATGCCAAGGCCGGCTCAGGACTGCCAACGCTAGAGTTGAAAGAACTACAAAATTACACAATGTTGTGCTTTGCCGCGGTCAGCTTATTCTTAAACATCAGCACTGCCCTGATGGTAGGGATGCAGCATCCATGTGGCAACTGGAGATCCTGAACTGTGCGGTTTTCTTGAAATTTATTGACTGATTGCATGTTTTGAGTCTAATTTTGACAAAGGAACTTCGGCGCTGAGACGATTAAGCCTACAAACGTTGGTATGTGTCCGTGAGCCCTCACACACCTGCAAACACAAAATTGCAATATCAACATAAATAACAACACTGCTCGGCACAAAAAGAACACATGTCGCAAAAACATTTGGGAAGAAGCAGGGAAATCTAAAAACAGCGAAATAGAAAGACTGGGCTGACCAGCTGAAGTGCAGAAAAATGCATGTCAGGCATCACACGGGACTGTGTGCTGCACTTCTCAGCCAGGACACCAGTTGCCATTGTGAGGATCAGACTGGAAAAAGCCGTGCTTCACAACCATGTGTCCATAAACCCTGAGCTGTCTGAGCTGTCACTCTTCGTTCTATGTTTGTCTGATGGCACTTGCAGTTGTGATGTCGATCATCTTGAACTGCATGCAATGCACTGGCAAGAATCTGCAATGATACTGTAATGGTTTGCCTAGGTGCATTAAAATGGCGGCATAAATGTTGGATCGCCAATCCACAATACTCTCGATCTGGCCCCCACCTGCGAAGTGCCGTGTGCGCCCCTGTCACCCCTCAGCAGTGTACTCAATTCAAGCCCAGCCGCTGTCTTCCAAATAGTTTTTCAAAGGCGTCCCTGCCGCCAAAGACCTCAATCAAGCAAGCAGTGCTTCCTCAACAAGCAAGAGTGCACATCATCGAAGAGCCGGGCTGAATCAAAATGTACCTTGAGGACGTAGCCACCTAGGTTGGCCCACAGGTCCATCATCTCATCAGGTACTTCACACCTTTCCGTCTAGTACACCTTCTACCCTTCCAATGTTGCTTGTCTTTTCATATCTCTTCAGTCTTGCAAGTGCATACCCGCGCCCAGCATGTGCCCTGATCATTCTGGAGACAAGATTGAAATTCCTTTGCCGGGCCACTGCATTGGGCGTGGTGAGCTTGATAGTATGAGGTTTCAAAGCCGGCATAAAATCGCCTGAAACCATGTTTCCGTCAGAAGAGAGGGCCTGGACGTCAATAACTAATTTAGTTTGATGGACCTCACCGAACGGATCATGCCCAAAGTCATCCGAAACTGCTTGTTCGGGGACAGCTGGGCATGTACTGTAGCACCAATGGCGACGAGATGATAACTTCAGGCTCAACTCTACCAACTGAACAGACCCTGCTGCCTGCGTCAATTTGCCTCGTGAATTCTGCAAGCATTTCCTGCCTGAGATTGTTCAAGCCAAATGCAGATCCAAATACCGTTTGCATCTCCACATTGAGCAAGAAACTACTAGTAGCTTCTGGCAATACTACAATGACCATTCTTGCTACTAGGTACAAAGGGCATCGCTACTAGGAGCAAGAATCTACTGGTACCTCTTGGCATTACTGCTAGTAGCATTCTTGCTACTAGGAACAAGGGGCATTACTACTAGGAGCAAGAAACTACTGGTAGATATGTGTATATATATATATATCTGCCCGCTCGGAGTCCGATGTCTGAGGCTTTTGGCTGTCTACGGGGGACATGCAATACATACGAGCTTTGGATAGCTAATGTCAACCTAGGATTAAGTAATTCCCCCTATTAATCAAGCCCAGCTGTCCCAGAAAAAATATAGTTTACTATTATACTTATTTATCATTAGTTTACTATATATTATAGTCATATTTATTTATGATTTGCAGTATTTTCTTATTGGCCAGTATCCTCTCCTCATGGTGAACCTGATCTTCTGATACACCCTTTTTTTCTCATCCTTCCCTGTGAAAACGCCAAAAATCTCGCTAGCACAATTGTTTCATTTTCCCTTATTGAAACTCTATCAACATCTTAAGGTGTTCGAGCTCACAAAGGGTACCCCTCACACAGGCCCTACCACCCTCTAATAGTAGGGCCCCCCTATTAATCAAGCCCAGCTGCCCCCAGAAAAATATAAAGTACTGGTATAGTGTGCTATTAGTTTCAATCAAACAAAAAAATATTGTTTTCCAATCTCTTTCATATCTTTCCTAATCATTCCAATCATCCCAATCCCAATCTTTCCTAATCTTGTCATCATCTCATCATCCATCATCAGGTCATCATCTTTGTTAACTGTTAGCAATCTCAAACCTTGTTGATCTGTTGACCTTGAAGGGAGGGGCCGTTGATTAATCCTACGTCGACACTATTCAGCTTTGGCTGAGCATCAACCAACACAATGCACGAAGGATCCATGTCTGAAGGTGAGGACAAGGTTCCCTTTCTGCGTAAAGCTTGCCTCATCCTGAAGATTAAACCTCGCGGCGCCGCGCACTGGCACAAAAAGACAAAAGCAAGTTCTCAAAACAAAGAAACTGGCAATGTTCCTCTAAGCTGCATGTGAAACAACCCGTGCAAATGACTTTCCTGTGAATCAACCATCAAGCAGCTCGTCAAAGATTGACTTCTTCATCGGCTCAAGGATTTTCCACATCAATTTCGTCTTGTCATCCTCATGAGGCGTAGATGAGGAATGCAACTTGCAACCACGGTTGGTCGAGCAGCGAAATTGTGCCTACTTCCTAAATCCTCTTTGGATTGAGCACTTTGCCGATTCACTTTGGTTTCGTCTTGCTTTTTTCTGTGGTTAGCACAAAAAGGCACTTCAAGGATTGGAATGTCCATGTACCATTCCAATGCTTCTCTCTGCTCGTAGTGACTGTATTATGCTCTTGAAGCTCACGAGCCCGGTAGGTAAGGCTGTTTCCAGGCAAGAAACACAGGCTCCGTATGATTGGCAGTTTGTGAAGAAGAGTTCCAGAAGGTTCCAGTCATTCTTGTAGAAGCTTTCCGTCTCCTGAATCAGCTCTTGCAAATGTGTAAGAACAACAAGCGCGCTTCGAACACACTGTCCTCGAACACTGTCTTCACAATCACGGTGTCTCCGTGCCCCTTTGGCAACAGTTTTTTGAAGGCAGTGTAGTTTTCAGGACTGAGATCCTGAGAGGCACGAATGTTTTGACAATTACGGAACTGTTGCTATGGCTCTGACATCTTCTTGCTACTTCTCTCTAAGCACGCCTCCCGCAATGTAAACAGGTCCACTTGTCCAACGGAGCCTGCACTGAGTGCCTCGGGTGGATCAGCAAACAAGGTGGGACCTGAATGGACTGTCCGGGTGCAGCGTTGAAGGCGCAAAGGGTCACCGGTGTTGTGACATCGCGATGTTGACTGACATGGATCTTACAATGTCAGGGAAGGTGTATGACTGAGTAGAAATGAATGGCTGAGTCTTCAAGTCGAATCCAAAAGTTCCAGAATGTGTTTGATGGTTGGGATGCACCGTTTAACTGGCAGTTTGGTATGGTTCATTGGCCAATGACATTTTAAGAATTCTATATACAAGGAAGCATGCAGGGAATGACATAAAGAAGGACATAGGGAATACCGTTGGGAAGGATTCGAGGGATCAGTGAGACTATTCGCTTCATGGGGTTCAGAAAAAAGTCATGTCAAGATTGCTGGCATTGAACAATGGGCATGACCGTACAACATATATATTATATATATGTGTACATATACCAATGCAAGCAACGAAGCATATCACGATTCCTTCTAGGATATTTGGATGGATAAACAATTCAACAGGGGGGGTGAGCATATTGGAATCAATGGGGCTAGTCGTTGTGATGGGCCGGGCTAAGGCAAGGGGTAGGCCTATGCGCAAGCTTCGCTCGGCTCAACATAAAAATGTGCAGGTTGCCCATCGGCCTTATTGTGCAGTGTTTTGCACCTTGCAACCATAGGTCCTGCCTTCTACTAGCTGCATCTGAAAGCCTCCGATACGGAAATTGGTAGCTTGCTAAACATGAGAAAGCATCGTCTGAAAATGACTTAAGTTTTTGCATGTTCCCTTTGCTCCACCAATCTGACCCAAGCCACCTGCTTGTATTTCAAGATGTTCAAAAGTGGAAGGTCTACCTCCTCTCCACTTCCAAGCTCAAGCCTGACCTGAGGATCTTGACTCTGCCTTAGCAAGGCAGGCAGCCACGAAACTGATTTCCCACAACTCTTGAGAAATTGAAGTGTCGCAATGCTCTCACAAAGTCGTGAATGCAAGTGAAGAGGCTCAAGTCTTCAATGCAAAACTCGTGGAAGGGCCAGCTAGGACTTCCAAACCATCATACAGTCCAAAACAGAAAACGCCACTTTCCAAGCAATCTGACCATGCGCTTGGTACAATCATTCGTCGAAGTCAAGCACTTAAATTGTGCTCTAAGACATAGGCAAGTACTCCATGGTGCCCTGTTCATCACGAGAGGGGTTTGCATTCTGCGTCTCCTGGAGCATCAACAAGCCCAGAGGTAAATGAGGTTTGGCTTTGGGGAGCGAAGGCGTTAATTTATGTTTGGAAGTGTTGATGTTTGTTTCTTTTTCTCGTTCTCATGTGTGCTCCGGATTGGAAACATGAATGGCTTCGCATGGTTTCGCTCTGGCTCTCAAGTGCGACCTCAGGCACTAAATTTGTCGACCGGTTTGCTTTGATGGAAGGAGGGTCAAAGCGAAGAAACTGGAGCCACAACAACTTGAGGTGACGCAAGGAATTCAACGGTGCAGAGCTGGACTGCAATCAAATGTGCACCAGCATAAGCATACCTGTGCGGTCGCTGGCATCTTACAAACGCCAGCTGGCTCGACAAGTGATATAATTGATCATGTAATCGGATGAGGGGGACTGCTGAAGTGCAAAAAGCTCTGTGATATGTTGTGATCAGTGGCCTGGCATCAAAGTGGCAAGCAAAAGTTGCAATCAAAGCCTAGTCCCAGGATGTCCCAAATGTCCAAAAGCGGAAAGCTGCCAAAACCTGGATCTGAGATCTCCAGGGGTCAAAGTTGCAGTCGCTGTTTTTGAGTGAACAAGTTGCAAAGGGACAATTTTCCACTTCTATGTTAGTTCCAGGGGGAGTACACTCTCAAAAGCTCCGCACAGGTAGAGATGGCTGAACCTAGTGAATTGAAAAGATTGCACAATGTTGAGAGCAGCTGCTGGGGGTGTACGTCTGGGTTGGGGCTGGCATTGTTTACAGCCAAATGCCAGGTGATGCCAGGTGGCAACTTGACTGCTCTGAAGGGTCAAGCACAAGAATCTGATCAAGCTTCAGCATACCCCTTGGCACAACAACACGATCTCGGATCTCGCCTTCAGCTTGTTCCGCACAAAATCATCTTTCACCAAATCCGGTCGCATGGCCAGATTCTGCGAAACCTCATGCATCGAGATCGCGTGAACACTTGCCCCTTACACCTCTGCTTGGTCACTTCGCCTTCGGCATCAGGCCACCAACTTCAAAGATTTGGTCAAGAGCTTCTTTTGCGCAAACCTGGGCAGCGTCAATACCACTTCCTGTGCAGCGAGATGACCTTGTCATGAGTCATGATTCCAATCCCTAAATCTCCATGGTACTGATTTGATCTCCAAGTCTTCAGTGTTGCCGGCAGCTTCCATCACCCGGAATAGTTTTGTCATCCTTGGCTAAAACGTGGTGAGAGGGACTCACTCTGAAGAGCGGGGCTGCCCTTCAGCCGAAGAGTCCCGCCCAGCAAAGTCGTCATCCTTGACGCCAAGCCTTTGACTTCTTCTCCAGTATAGTCATGTAGCTGCCTCACCTGACAGCCCAAGAATCTGCCACAGAAACTGAAAGTGCTGCTTGCCATAAGCTACTGGGCGCACTACTTTCTTCTGCTCATCTGATTCGTCTGAGCCCATCCACCTCCTATACAGGCTCCGTCCTGACTTTTTGCTCCAAGCACCCAGCATGAAAATACGAATGGTCTGTTGGCAGCCTTCTCCATGATGTTGTTTGACGAAAAAGCCAAGTGGAGTGGTGTTCGCCCAGAAAAAGACCATATGTGCGGCCTGTCCTACAGAATACCATTTGGTGGCTTTCACTCCAACTCTTCCAAGGGCTGAATCCGAGCCCAGCAACTCCTTAGATGGCAAGTTAACTCAAAGTTTTCCTTGGTCCTGTCCTACCCGGTTCACGGCAGAAAACGAGAAACATGCGAATTTGCCCATGTGGCAGCACTAGCTGGTGTCACAAAGCAGTCCAGCTCAGCTCAGCTACTGAGTGACGTCTGGAAAGCAGTCCAGTTGAGCACAACAACCCTTGCAAAAAAAAGGACAGGAGCAAGACACATTGACCGTCACAAATCACCAGGAACCCTCTTGAAAGTTCTCTCCAGAAGCTTTTCGACGTTTTCTGCGGAAACTGCCGCAACCTTCGGATCAGATTCTGGAACCGTCCAGACCTTGGAACACTTGAAACCCTTCAACACCACCGAAAACCTCGAACTCGAATCATTTGCGGAACCTGTCCAAACCCACTCAAACCTACTGGCCGAAGACCCCAAAGCATTCGGCTTCATAAGAAGCAAGCTCATGTGACACATGTGAGATCCCAAAAGCAGGTGGAATCCAAAACTGGCTTTCAATCTAACATAATTCAACTGTTGTTGCACCGCTCTGATCGGCTCCATTGGCCGCATCGGCCCCATCGGTTTCCAGCTGTTCAAAGGTAAGGTTGTGTGTCCCTCTAGCAGGCGTCTGACTGGCTGTGTTACTATTATATACTATTATTGTCTTCATGCGAAATCATGAGATCGTTGGCGCATGGCCTCCAAGTGTAAAACATACATGTCCCCTGCATCTAAGACAGAACATGCAGCTTACAGTTGGAGAGGTACTTACCCCAAACTGTGGAACAAAGGAGAACAGGGCAAAGATTGAACAATGCATGTCCTAGTGCAGCTGAAGATTCACCAACCCACTTTGCCTTGCCCAGCGATGACATCTTCCAGAATGAGGTCCTTGGCTCCGTGCAACTCGAGAAACTGGATCATGCTAGTCGCAAAACACGCCAATCTTTTCCAAGCTCAAGTGTTCGAATCACCCAGCAACACGGCCTAGCTTGTGGACCAACAGCGGAAGAACGTCTTTCATCCTCTGAAAAGGTTGGCATCATGATGTCTGGAAAGTCTTCGGCTTGGTTATGAGATGACTTCTTAACACCGTCGTCATGCCTCTTGACTGTGGAGGACTCCGAATTTGATGAATTCGACCAGCTTCAACTCGTCAAAACACCAAAACACATCACAAACTGCCACTGAAGATCTCTTCAGCAGTCTTTGAGGGAGCCAGATCATCCACTGGACAAGCCCCAACTTCATCCAGCACCTACAGATGTCTGGTGCCCGTGGGCACCTGCAAAAGCTCAAGAAAGACCCTTGTGTCAAGCAATGTAAAGCCATGTGGCCTTTACTTCCACAGCATCTGCCGCCTAGCCGGGGTGGAATGACCAGGACGCTTGCTGCAGAGGCTAGCTAGAGGATCAAAGAAATGCCGATAGATTATAGATAGGGGCTCGAAGTATGCTAATAGTTGGATTTCTATGGACAAGCGCTTGCAAAACACGCCTTGGAACCCTCCAAAATGGCGCACCAAAACAACCAATAAAAGAGGTCTTGCAAAAACTAAACTGACAAAGTCGAAGAACGTCACTCAGTGGGTGGATGGCCTGTGTTCTTCATTTGTCTTTTTATTGGAAGATGCCAGCTAATGTGAGCCAAGCAAATACGGAAACTGCACCTTCTTGGTATTGGCATAGCAACCGTCCATATGAAGAGGCATAGGCTGCTTGACGTCCTGACACTGCTATTTCGACGGTTCTTCTTCACTTTTGAACTTTATATATATATATATATATGTATAATAGTACTTTTATCCAAATAGGTGCGCAGAAGCTACATTTATTCAAATGCCAAGAAACGCTTGGAACTTCAGATCCCTGCAAGAAGCTCTTGTCCACCACAGCAGAAATTTCAAGGTCTTTCACCTGGGCTTGGATTTCCTGCGCATGCCCCATGTGTCTCCCTAGCACCCCAGCCTTGTACTTCACCATATTGTGGAGGCGGCCAATTTTGGTGCCCACGCAGGACAAACGGAAAAAGGCTTTCTGCAAGAGCTTGGCATCCTGCAAAGCATGCTAAACAACAAAGGTCGCTGACGCTGCAAAGTTCCATATTATATCCTGAAGTTCAACATGAAAGTCTCTAGCAGCTTGCAACAGTGAATCTAAGAACCACAAGAGCCGCTGGGTTTGCGACCGAAAGTGCTTCCGATACTTCATCTTGACCTGGGGTGTGAACCAACAAACCCGTTATGCCAAAACGAGAGAGAGAGAGAGAGAGAGAGCTCCGTAAAACTAAATGTGCAAAAGTTGCAGCCTAAAGCTGACAAAGCTCTCAACATGTCAGAAACGAACTTGGTCCAACATTGCAGACTCTTATCAAGTATCCAACCTTCTGAGAGTTCAAATGACACCTGGTCCCAGAAGAAACACCTTTTTGCTGAGTGACTTTGGTTCATCAAATGTCGAAAGGTCTTGCCAGCCCAAACCAAGGGATCCTGCTGCGTTGCCAAGTACCAGTTTTCTTCTTTGCCTGGAGGCAGTGAGGGACTGCTCAAAGCTTTCCAAGTGGCGCATTGGATTCTTTTGCCTTTCATGCCTTTTGGTGGCCTTCATTCCATACATTTTGCCGGGCAACTTTCTTTGTCCATACAAAGGTAGAGGAATGCTGAGAGATCTGACTTCTTGAAAATTTTGCCTCAAAAACAAGCACAACTCCGATTCACTTGAAATGTGCAATCTGAATGTGACATAGTTTCTTGCGAACCAAGGAAGGTTTGCTAAAAGCTGATGAAGACAAGGAATGCTTCACCTCACGCTGAACTATCGCAAATATTGAGTTTAAGCTGAATACACCAACGTACTATGGGGAATCCGATGGAATCGGTCTGGTTGGTTGCAATTGGTAGGGCTTGAAGGGTCATGTGCTTGTGTACTGTACTGCGAAATTGTTGATCATGCTACAGCGGGGAATTTGTTGGTGGATGACATTATCTGCAAGAGCGCGGAACACTGCGCGGAACATTGTGTCTGACATCCTTAGAGGACATAGCCAGACTGCATTGCTGCAGCCCAGTGGCTGACTCTGACTGGTGCATGCCAATATCTCCTTCAGGGCAAGAACGAGATCCTAGCTGTCGCTTTGGAACCCCTTCTGGCCACGTTAAGACAAGTACCAGAACGCAGTTTCTTTCTGCAACCCCAACACAAGCAACCTATTAGGTAGGTCTATTGATTTGTGTTTTCTTCTCGGCACTGCCATTCTCAAACACCCATGAAAGCTTCAGAACGTCGTGAAGCCCGTCGAGAATTTCTTATTCTGGTTCTGGATAAGGCCGGGCATGATCGCCGAGACCAATTGGGTGGGCAGCACTTTCTCCTGAAAGCAAAAGGTACAAGTTTTGGTCACCTGCAGAATAGAGCTTGCTATGATGTCATTCTTGATGTTGCTTTAACAAAACGTCTCCTATTGTCAAAACTTGACACGTGATCCGGAGAAGCTCCAAGACAGGGTTGCACGAATAACGAACGGCGAATCACGCTCAGGGTCAGGGATCTCGAGGGTTACCGACACAAACAACGAATCACGAATCACCAATAATCCCCCTCAGGGTCGAGGATCTCGAGGCTATAGAGTCACAAACGACGAATCGCGCGAATACCGAATCACAAAACGACCACGAATTGTAGAATGAATCGCGAATTGCTCGGCGGTAATATAACGAATCACGAATCATGAAAATTCATGAAATGAATCACGGACAACGAATCACAAAAAACGAAACGAATCACGAATCGCTCGGCTGTGTAACGAATCACGAAATGAATCACCCTTCCGGACGACCACTCCAAAACTTCGAAAGGCAAATTTCTCTGAGAGGCTGCACCCTTGGCAATGCGGTGTGGTGGTCGAAGCCTTGGATTCCAAATTGCCCGCTTGTACGTGCGAAGAAGTGAGGGTTCATTCGTTATGTATTTGGGGTTCTGTCTATGTGAGTGTGTATATATATATATATATGTGTGTGTGTGTGTGTTTATGATTCAATGCGTATGTCTCACCGTGTAGGTGTGCGCTTATGTATCTGTGTGTAAATTGACATTCATGTTGGCGAGCATGCAGTGGGCACAAGTGGCGTGACTGTGGATGCTTGCATGCAATCTTGAGTCTAGGATGCGTGACAGGGAGTCTGTCATAATGATTGTACCATCCGAGTGCACACTGCTGACTGCACTACGCAGCTGACAATCAAGACCCACAACTGTTAGGACACCTGGACTGGCCTAATGCAGGTGAGAAGGCCAGCAATCATGGCCACCTGAGCCTGTACCAACATGTACCCATGTACAACCACAGGCAGCCCTGGCCCTGGATGTAGAGGTGCCAGGGTGGCCTCATTTGGGGAATTGTCACGGGCTCCCTTGACCAGTCCATATGACCCTATCGCTTGTCCTGTTGTCTACGCATTTTCTGGCCCCACCTTCAAACTGACACCTGGAACACCAACCAAAAACAGGATGGTATACTAAAACAGTAGACTGCTACATATCAGATCAGAAAAATGCCAGTCACATTTGAGCTTCACGGGCTATCTGCAATAGACTATCCACGGGCAACACAGCAGGTATTTGAAGCTATCTGTTATGATTGCGTGCGGCCAAACTTGTCCATCTCCGCATGCTTCCAGGGTACGGCAGCCAATCATAGACGCCCTCGAATTGTTCCAAGCGCTTGTACTTCACCTCCTCAAGTGCCAAATCTTTCACCTGCGATGGAAAGGGGACATTGGAGTCAAAACACCACATTACTCACATTATCTGGCCACGCCAATTGGAGAACATACCAATACCATCAACCAATCCAAACCCCAATGCACTCAACAGACCCAGCGGCCAACCGCACAGACCTGAAAAAGCAACAAAGGGATGTGACTTGCGAGCGCCGCCGCCAAAATCAGTAGACTTGTGGGCGCTAGCCGTTGGCCAACCCCCAGCTGCACAAACCTCGCATAAACACTATGTGGTCTCCAAAAGCACAGCCTCATTTTGCCGGCCCTTCTCACCCAGAAAGGACACCAGGCAGCAAATTGCTTGGGTAAGCAAACTTCCTCTTCCCAGTACAATTCACATGCTCCCAAACCGATCACTGATCACTCCAAAACTCCCACACAGGAGACCGGAGGGGGCCTTGGCTTTCAAGTCTGCCAAGTCTGATTTGAGTGCTTTCGTCTCGATGGAGCCATCCTCCATATCTCTGGACGCCACTTCCTCTCGGGGCCCGAACAGCTAGACCGTGGAGCACGTTTTGTGGTTTAGCAGCCTAGAGGACCAAGATGTTTGAGTTGATTGAGTTCCTTTTCCGAGGCAAACATGTCTGGCGGCGCCTTGTTCAATGTTGCCAGATTGTGTCGCTCGATTGCCAGCTCTGATCGAAACTCCTAAGATCCAAGAAGGTCCGAATCGCCATGCCAAGGAGCACTACTAGGAACAAAAAAGCTACTAGGGGCTCCTGATGGCTCCTGGCCTTACTACTAGGAGCAAGAGGACGCTACTAGGAGCATGCCAAGGAGCCAGTCTTGGAAAGTGAACCACGCGCGCTTCACAGCCACAGAATTCCTGCGAGAACAGGCGTATCTCATTGCACAAACAGCTGAGCAAAGAAACACATCCAGGTCAAACGGTCAAACCCTTTTCCATGTGTCTTGCCTTGGTGTAAGTGAGCTTGTCGTTCTCATGGTCAGTCAAAGTGCTTCGATCCTCGATATGTACTTCAAACCGGCATCTAAGAATCTAAAACCTGAAACAGGAAGCTGCTCTACATCTCTACGCTGTTTTTAGGATGGGTAATATGTCTATACTATATAAATCACAATCATCCTCCCTTGCAAAGCTTCAATCTTCACTTCGTCAGGGTAGCTTTTGCTTCTCTGCGCGTCTCCATGAATCAGCCAACACTGCGCTTTGCCCTGACACAAGGTCAGGGTGTGCGACCAAAGGTCCGTTCCGTGTGCAACTTGCACATGTCCGGAGCTTCCCGGCCTTTTCGACCTTGTCGTTGAATGGATGGCGAACCACATAACCCAAACAAGTCTTTTTTGAGTAGCTTTCCATGGCAAAGTTCCTCGGATTTCCCAAGCCAAACTTCAAAGAATTCGGCCGTCGTGCTGCATTCAGAATTCCGTCCTATGAACTGTGCCCAGCTGCTCGTTGCAATATCTTTCGCAGTCTGCAATTCCAAGTGAAGGGGCCGGCACAACCTTGAGCGCTCGTTTCTGGGAAGCTTCTCTTTTGGAGTTCCTTTCCGCCTTTCCATTCCTGTCAAGCAGCTACAACCCGGGAGGCACTGGATTTGGCTTTCTGCTCGCACAAAGCGGTCAGAGTCCCATTTGTTGGACAAAGTGCGACCAAACCTGGGCGGCATTCACAGAAAATATAGGACAAAAGCCACCGTAAGAAATCGCAAGCAAGAAAAACACAACACAACCAATAAATTAAGAGAATATGAATGATGAGGAATGAATCGGTTGGACCAGCTGGCCAGCGGCCCACCTTACCTTGCAAACTGCAACCCAAAAAGGCTGGCCAAGGAGCTTTCGTGGGGGGGCCTGCCACTCTCAAGAACAGAGGGTGTTGCAGAATACCTCAATCCATCAATCTCATCTTGAGCTGTACCGATTTGCTTGCGGTCAGACGACATTGGCATCCTTTCTGCCTAATTTAAGGCCAAACAAGATCGGAAACCGCTTGCAAGTTGCTGGCAGCGACCAGCCCCCGACACAGCAGGTTGAAGTCTAGCTTTCTTGGCTTCCAACCTAGGCATGAGAGCCCGCGGCAAATGGACGACGAACATCTAAGAACCAAACACACAGGGCCCCAAGGCCAGAATGCCACATTGCCAAGAGCCTTCAATGTCATTACATTTATGGATTTTTTTTCCCGAAAGCATTGTGAAGGGTTCTTCCGGAAAATCCATTGAACACTGACATTTCTACACTTACACTTGAACACTGACGCTTCCACACTGACACTTGAACACATACACGTCTATACGTATCCCAGTGTAAGGGTAAAAAGCATCCAAGGGTAAGTATGCAAGTGTAAGTATCCAAGTGCAAAAGTATGCAAGTATCCCAGTGCAGTCCCAGTGCAAGCATGCAAGTATGAGTATGGAAAACTTGCACGGGAGATGTCCTAATGAAAAACACTTCCCCACTTTATAAATTCTCTCTTAAAGGCGGAGGGTGGGACGAACAGCGTCAACCGAAAATGCAACCCTCAGCGGAGATCGTGCGTGTCGAGCGCGCGAAATGCAGGCGAGAGTGCGATTTGTCGTATGTGCGCGCAACCCACTGGAGATCGTGCGTGTCGAGTGCGCGAAATGCAAGCGAGAGTGCGATTTGTCACATGCACGCGCAACCCTCTGCGGAGATCGTGCATGTCGAGTGCGCGAAATGCAGGCGAGAGTGCGATTGGGTCTGTGCGCGCGCAACCCTTTGCGGAGATCGTGCGTCTCGAGTGCGCGAAATGCAGGCGAGAGTGCGATTGGGTCTGTGCGCGCGCAACCCTCTGCGGAGATCGTGCGTGTCGAGTGCGCGAAACACAGGCGAGAGTGCGATTGGGCCTGTGGGCGCGCAACCCTCTGCGGAGATCGTGCGCGTCGAGTGCGCGAAATGCAGGTGAGAGTGCGATTTGTTCGGTCCGCGCGCAACCCTCTGCGGAGATCGTGCGTGTCGAGTGCGCGAAATGCAGGCACTGGTGACTTTCTAGTACTACTTTAGTACGCGGAGTATCTGGGGAGCTGGAAGATGAGAACTGGCGACTTTGTAGTACAACTGTAGTACGCGGAGCAATAAGCTGAGAACTGGCGACTTTGTTTAGGACGCGGAGTATCTGGAGAGCTGGAAGATGAGAACTGGCGACTTTCTAGTACAACTTTAGTACGCGGAGTATCTGGGGAGCTGGAAGATGAGAAGTGGCGACTTTGTGGTACAACTTTAGTACGCGGAGCAATCTGTGGAGCTGGAAGCTGAGAACTGGCGACATTCTAGTACAACTTTAGTACGCGGAGCAATCTGTGGAGCTGGAAGCTGAGAACTGGCGACTTTGTAGTACAACTTTAGTACGCGGATGGATGAGTCATCTCTCGCGGCTGAGTCATCTCTCGCGGCTGCTCTGGCGCCCCTGCAGCTGAGTCATGTCTCCCGACCACCCGGCTCTCTTGAGAGGTTGACACACACACACACACAGAGACCCACGCACTGCCTCAACTTACTCGGACACACACACAGACAGAGACTCATACACACACAGAGACCCACACACTGCCTCAACTCACTCGACTTAACACTTCACACTGAACACTTAACAGATAACTCACACTCTGACTTCCTACGTGATGAAAAATGCTTTCGGGCCACTCGTCGTCTAGTTTATGTGGTAATGCCAGAATCCGTGATTTAAAAAAAGTCAAAAAAAACAACTGGAAAAGTCAAAGTAAAAAAATCAAATTGAAGAGTCAAAAAAAGCCAATACAAAAGCAAGAAAAAAAGTCGAAAAAAGTCAAAAATCAGTCAACCATAGACCACAGCTCGAAAATGTAAAAAAAAAAGTTCAGAAAACAAAGTCGAAAAAAGTCAAAACTGTGGCTCCTTGCCTTGGCGGATTACTGGAGTCAAGAAAAGTTTTTAAAAAAAAAGGTCACAAAAAAAAGTCCACCATAGACCACAGCTCGAAAAAGTCAAAAAAAAGTTCAAAAAAAAGTCAAAACTGTGGCTCGTTGCCTTGGCGGATTACTGGAGTCAAGAAAGGTCAAAAAAAAATCAAAAGAAAACGTCCAAAAAAAAAGTGTTTTAAAAAGTCGAAAAAATGTCAAAAAAGGTCGGATCTGGGCAAATTGATGTTTTTGACTTTCTGAAATTTTCTGATTTGACTTTTTTTTGACTTTGACTTTTGGGATTGACTTGTTTTTTGACTTTTTTTTGGCGTTTTTTTAATTTAGAAAACAGGCTCTTTCCAATGAAAGTTTTTTATAACATTACATGCTGGGATGGCCACTGAAGAAACAGCTCAGGGGTCTTGGGCTCCGGCTCCCTGCCCACGCGATAGGCATCAGCGACCAAAAGTAGATAGGCCAAGCCTAGCAGCATGACAACTACTGGCAAACACAGACAGCACAAGTACAAGAATAGTGTACACAGGCCAGGCCTGTGAGCAAAGCAGTCATAGTCGTAGTGCTGTTGGTGAGCAAACAACTGTTGTAGGTATCTGTGTATGAAGGCCTTAGTTAGTTCAGCAGGCCACAAGCCAAGGTCATGTTCCAGCATATGCAGATGGAATGTTACTGCAGAATGATCAACTCCCACACTCATTGAAGCATCTTGACCAACAATCCTGATGTCCATCTCAACTTGACAAACCATTGCAGCCGGATGGCAAGCAAAATGCACGAGCCAACACAATACGCTGGAGAAAGAGCCAAAACCCAGCGTCGAACGCAAACACAGTTACAGTCCAAAAGTCGACAATTTGCAAGTAAAGCATTGATGAAACAGCCCTAGAGTTCTGTTTCTTCTGCAGCCCAGCCTTGGAGTTGAGACAAGAAATAAAACAGGACCAATTACGCAATTAAAGAAACCTTCTTGGGGTAACACTTTACCCCCTCGATCGGATGGCCTCACTCCTGAGCTTCTCCGCAGCCAGCTTCTCGCGAAGCTTGCCGAGCTCCTGCAACGAGCTTTGGCCCCTGCATGCTGCAACAAAATGCCAAAGCGAACATGCCTGCGAGCAGGAGCAGGTTTGTGGCGTAGGTGTGTCGGGCGTTCATAGTGTAGCTCAGCCAAGGAGTGTCTTCAATTAAAAAGTCCAAAGAGTTTCAGTGTGGACGGAGCTTGGGCCAGTCACCAAAAGCGGAAGAATGCTGAGGCTTTACATATCTTCTTTTATGCAGTCACGCAGACCCTCAACCTTCATCCAAAAATTATTGCACATTCAATCAAAACCATATGTGTTTAAAGCGAAGGCAGCCTTTCTGGGAGCTCTTTGGCAATTTTCCCCAGGTTGGCATGCTGCTGTGTTAGCAGCTTACTTTGGCCAACACCGGGCTACCTCCAGTCTACCACGTCCGTCTCGGTCCAATACCTTTGTGGACTCTGGTGGCCTTTTCACAGCTTCATCGCTTTGCTACTGCCGCGTGTAAAACTTGCACACAATGCGCAGGAACCCTTCATCGCTCATCTACTCTGGGAGAGTTTCCAGCATGCTCTGCTGCGTGTGCGCATAGGTTTCAACAAAGTCTTTGCCACCTGAGGTAAATGATTGGACTGGGGCTGTCATCTTGACTGAGAAACCCATGACGTGCCCAGTGGCCTGCCAAGGCTTCTGAGCTATAGCCTCAGAGATCTCAATGTTCCCAAGAAAAAAGGCCAATGGTGATCACAAATTTAAATTGAAACAACTGCCATCTGCCACAAATGCAGGACAAACTCGATGAACAAGACATTCTCTAATCGACTCTTCCCAGCAACGCTCCAGAAATGTTGGCCCGGCCGGCGGCACTGGAACTGGCACAGCCAGATTTTTGCAATCCCTATTCCAGATCTGTTGATTGAAAGAAGTCTTATCGTACGAGAGCCTTTGCAACAAGCAAGCAATCAAACAAACTACAGTATAACTAACTACTAAGTAACACTAACTAACTGACTGACTGACGAACTGACTGACTAACTGACTGACTCACTCACTAACCAAACTAACTAACACAACAGTTTCTCGCACAAGTTCTTTACTATCCAAAGCCCATATGGCGTGGAGAAGATTGTTCTAGCCCCTTCCAAAATGTGGAGACGCCCCTCTTCTACAGGTGCTGCCCTCTTGTTTCCGTGCCTGTCTCTGCAGACTGATGCCCCAAGACAGCAGCCAGCGGCGTGCAGGACCAATCAATCGCGCCCCCTGATCGGCGAGCATCAAAAACTGCAGCACGCAGCCGGCGGAAGTCCTGGATTCTTCAGTCAGTCAGCGCTGCATACAAATCCTTTCCCCGTGATTTGTCCAAAAGCCGTAGAGGCATATTGCAAAAAAAGCATTGTCCAACATGGTTCCCTGGGTCTACCTTACTCAGTTTACCTTTAAGAGCCTTCCCACCTGTCCAACTGCTGTCGGGTCAACATTGGGCTATCCGGCTATCCCATTCGCTTGGGCTCACGAAGCCACAAGCCTTCCACAGTTTATGCCCGGCATCCATGAAAATGGCGCATGGCATACTGTCTCAGAGTCTAGAAAACAGAATGAAACTCAAGCAATCTCAAGTAACTCATGTTTGTCTTGAAAAAATGAAAGTCCGGAAGCAACAGACTCCTGCTGGTGATCGCCAACGATTGATTTCAGGCATTTCAACTCCTGATTCCAGTTGGTCTGTGGAAGTGCACAACGTGCAGCAACGAAATTATGCCAAAAACCAAGATGCCTGCAGTGAAAACCAGGATTCGCCCAAATAGAAGCGCAGTAAACACACCGGATGTTCTGCAAGACCGAAATCAGAGCTGGCACAGAACACCTGGCAACAAGGCACACATAGCCTTCACATAGCAATCGAAATGTACAGTATATATAAATATATCAAGATGTATATATATGCGTAGCATCTCTGGATTGAGCTTCAAATCTAGGACAAAGTCCAACCAACCTGTGGATGAGATGGTCACTGTCAGGCGACAGCCTTTCCAACGGCCCCCTTCCAATGTTTCATGCGCTGACATAAAGTCAGCTGCACTACCAACAGGCCTACCTTGGCTGCACAGCAATGCTGGTCAATGCAGGTTGCGAACAAATGCCAGTTGATCGGGTTGGTTGTTGGCACTTTGTTCCTGAACCTTCTACAGTATTCTGTTTTGATGCGGCTTGCCTGCTTCTTGACTTGCTAATTGATTAGTAGCCACTTGATTGTGTTTGCTCTGAAGAAAAGGACTTCCCGCCTTGTGCATAGTCACATCTTTGTCGAACATGGGGGACTCGGAGATCACATACAAAGAAAAGCGGAAGTCCTGACCCTTGCTCTCGCATTCGGCCAAAGCCCAGCGAAGGGATTCGGCCTCTGCCAAAGATAAAGCCACGGTGGTTGGTGGGTTGCGGTTTCCTCTCAACTCCAAAGCCACCAAAACTAGCTTCACAATGGGCACCTGCACAGTGACCCGGCTATTGGGAGAAAAACGTAGGCGGCACTCAGCTAAAGACGCCAACACCGGATTTGTCTTGGCCGCATTGGCTCCGGCACCAGCGCAGCCGATGAAAATCTCCGCGATCTTCGCGAAGCTTGGAAAGGCAAAAAGAGCTGATTCATCTGCTACTGATGGAGTGTCAGGCAAGGCCGCCAAAGACTTGAGCTTCCCAAGCTCCCAAACACGACTTTCTCCAGCTTTAGGTCGCTGTACAGATCCCGTCTCTTCGGACTCGATTTGGTGCTCATGTTGCTGCTGCTCTTCTTGTTCACGCACAATCTCGCCAGAGGCAAACTCGGATGTACAGCCTGTACCTAATAATCAGTGGTCATGATCGTCCATGCCAGCAAAACCGGGAAAACGCTGGGAAAACACGAGTTCAATTAATTACAGTAGAAACTTCCTTGGCGTCAGGAATCAGGAAACTCAAGAATAACTATATACCAACCGAATGAAGATCCAAGCTACCCAACATCTGCAAAGCACGCTGCACCACCTCATCCACAGCTCCAGACACAGAAGAAGATGTTGCAAAGGGCGCCGCCAGATCCCTCAAAGATGTCTCCAATGTCTTGGACTCTTCCTCCTTAATGCTCGAAGGCACAAACTCTAAGAGCGAAGTCAATCCTTCCGATTTTCCATCCATCAGCATTGAGAGAGCAGGTGCTTTCCAAGCGCTTGTGAGATCTTGTCGTACCAGTTGGCGTGCTTGCAACTCTTCCTGCTCCAGTGACTTCATAAGTAAGGCGGATTGAATGTCCCTCAATGCCGCCGCTTGCGCCGTCGCAGTTGGTGAAAGATTCACGGCCTTCCTATCCTTCAAAAGGTTACGCATGTAGTTTGCCACCTGGCTTCGTTCGGAAGTTCATGATGTTCATGAAAGTTGCCCAGCAACGGCTGCCCCACAAGAATTCTGAAACGAATTTTCAGGAATGCCAAATGCCAACCCCTTGTTCTCTTTGTCTCTCTCTCTCTCTCTCATTCTCTCTCCCTCTCTCAAGCCACGCCCACCTCCTCCGGTAGCAAAATCTCGCAACGTTGGCCTCGGCCCAAGCCGCGCATGCGCCACGCACCTTGTTGCAGCTCTCGGATGGACATGTCTTTACCCACAGTGATGGCAGCCACCTGAGCAAAGCTTGCAACACCGAACATGAGGCTGCGATGGCTGCAAGTGGTGATGTCAGTCCCCAGTCCACCACCAAACCACTCATGGGAAGAAATGCCACACATGTCATGGTCCATCATGCTGCTTCGGTTTAGCTCTAGAGCTCGCTAGTTTCTGCCAGGTAACTCCCAAAGCAGGTTGTTGTATGTCGATGCCGGTGGTGTGAGGCTGATCGAAGTAACAGAAACGCCGTTCTGGTCGCAAGTTGGCATCCTCCAAGGGCACGGGATGTGTTGCACCTTTCAGGAAGATCATGGGTAAATCAGTTCCACGAGCCAAGAAGACACAGCCATCTTTAATTGAACTCAGGGGGCTCTCCATCAAGAGCTTTGCCACTTCCTGGTTCTCCAAGCCGCACAGCAAGGCCCCACAATCGATTAAGGCACAAAAGGCCTCGCCAGCTTCACCTCGATGCTTCGCCACCAGATCCAACAAGCTCCAAACGGTCCAACCAGAGGCCACCGAATGCAGAGTCACCACCGAAGGCGAAGCCAAAATGGCCATGGTCTGACCATCTGTGTGGTCGAAATCCACCGGAGGCATGCTGGAGGGTAAAATGTTCGAGGGCGTGCCGGAGAAACCGAGGCGAACTTTGAAGATGCTGGGTGAGGCCAACTCCTGATGCCAGAAGGCGCGTTAGTCGATAGCTCTTGAAGGTACATTCATGACATCACATCACATCATATCACATACGCACACAAACAGACAAACAAACAAACAAACAAAGCAAACCAAACATACCAAACATACCATTCCATATTCCATATGCATAGATTAAAAGAGACTACATTAATTACATCACATTACATTGCTTTACAAGTATATACATTACGTACTTCACATATTCATATCTTGCTGATTTGTCACAACCTGCGAGTTCGCTTGAGAGCCACTGTGCTCGGTGAGACGGCCCAGCACCAGTGTGTGCAAAACACAAGCATGTGGGATCTGGTCGAAATGTTTTCTTCCAAAAATGGCTGCAAGTCGTGTTCACATGGGGGCCTTCTTTACTTTTGGCGCACACGCACAGCTGGTTAATGAAGGATACATGCACCAAACAAGCATTGGCACCAAATTGTAACAGGCCTCACTAGCGATGCACCGTTTTCAGCTGATCTCCGAGTTTCAAGCCATGCTCAATGCTTGACACAAAAGACTTGTTGGAAGTCAGCTTTGGAAGGGTCCATGCTGGCATCTGGTAATGCTTGCTAGCGCGGATCTAGCGCAGTGCTAGCGCGCGGCTAGCGCATTTTTAAGCAGCTACTTTTCAAAGCCTGACGACCTTCTGAACATGTCCGAAGTCAAACACTAGCGGAAGTCTACCGCAAACCTAGCGCCCAGCTGCAGAATAGGTGTGTTTAGCTGGGGGCCCGCTACATAATCTAATAGAAAAAACAACATCATAAGCTACTTTCGACTTTCGACCGCTTTATCTATTTTTTGTTTTTTTAATTATAGACTTTTGGCCGGACTCCATGTATGCATACGTTTACGATGCCTTAAAGTTGCCTTTTTGTTGTGCACCTCTCTCCCTCTTGGCCGGCGACATCATGCGATACAGCCACACTTATACAGACGCGCTCTGTTGCCAAAGTTTCCAAAACCTTTCGAGCCTCAGTCCTGTGCACACGCCGAGAACTTCTTCACCTGTGTAGGTGTGGCCTTGGGGAAGATCTCCTTCCTCAAGTAAAAGCAGTAAACATCGGGTCGTTCTTTCCAAAGCTTCTTCAATCCGCGGATCGTCGCCGCGTCCGGCTGCACCAGGTCCAACGGCAGAAACTCCGACTCAGGAGACTTCGGAGATTTGGCCGTCCACTCTTTGAAGCGTCGGAAGGACTCGCGCTGTGGGGGCGGAGTCGCCACATCACGGAGCAACTCCGATTTCAACCTGAGAGTTCCGAAAACCACGGTTTGAGTGAAACGGGTTGAGTCGTGAAAAGTGGAAAACAACGGCATTGATGAGCAGGGCGTCTATTTGCATGCATAACCATGTGCCAAACACGTGCGCAGTTTTCACATTTAATCTTATATATACAAGTGTGTAATGTTAACGAGGAATGGTAGGCATGTTATGACTTGTTTATTCATTCATATAAGCACAAAGCCGTCTTCCGTCTTCCAGTGTCTTCCCAAGTTTGATTCGATCCTCCTGACTGGTCTGAGGCTCATGCAGAAGAAGCATCGTCTTCACATCCGAAAACCGCATGCCTTCGTAGCTAAAGGCGAGGATCGTAAGCCTCGCGAGACAAGGTGACAAGACAAGCGTGGCAGGCTTTGGCCTATGAACCCACAGGCGACCCCGAAGGGGAAAACATGGTGAGCTAAGTCTGCCACCCAATAGCCACATCAGGATTGGCCTTGCACAACCCGCGGAAATACCACATCTGCTCCAAAGATTACCATCGACGGACAGTGCCTGAGGCTCTGACAAACTCCGATGCTAAAGATGGTGTCTCCAAGCCGGTGAAGGGCACTGCGACTTGCGTCCGGCTCCCCGTGGCCATGTAGCCACGGGCTGACAAATCTGCGAGATCTTTGGAACGCAGGAGGCCGTAGTGGACACGATTTACTTTGCCCAAAATGAAGGGCAACAAGTTCTGGAGCCAATCACGACTCAACATCAATAATTGGGAAGCATGTTGCCGCTCATCACTGTCCAGCTTTTCCAACGGCCTAGTGATCTGCCCAATTCCGCCATCTAATGCGGACATGATCTCAGCTCTGCTCAATGAGGTCAAGGCCGGCTGCAGCTTCAAATACTCATAGAGCCAAAGTCTCAAAGGACCCTCCAGGCAATCAAAGTAAAAGTTGTCAATGGCCAGAATCAAATGAGGTTTGGCTTGCAAAGCTAATTGTTGGATCCCATCATCGATAGCCTGGCAACGGTGGCAATGACACGTTTTGTAGTGGCTTTTGTGCCAAAACACCACTCTTCGCAAAAAAGAAAACAAACACTAAGTAAGGAAGGTAATACTGCACGGTAAGGCCCAATTCTTTCTAGGTCGGAGGCCATCGCTAGTAGGTTGGAGGCCATCGCTATTACAGTAGAAACAACGAAAAAGGAAAAAAGGAAGGTAAGGCCCCTTTACTTCATCAACGGCTCACCTTGCGGACCTCTGCAGAAACCGTCTTTGCGAGGAAGGGCTGAAGCAAATGCATCGGGAGCTCCCAACGTTCGGGTGAAAGCTCTAGAGGTTGCCGGCTGCCCACCGGGAAATTCCTCAAACAAAGCAATTCTTGGCTTCAGAGCGTGGAGGCTTGAACACATGGCAGGGGCCAGCACTTGTCGTCAAAGAACAAATGCCCGAGAAAAAACACCTGCATAATGTCTCCATAATGATCGGCTTCATTTTGCCTTCTATCATAAGCTCTGACTGAAGCATTGAACCTGCTGCTACCCCCCTCTTCCCGCATCCGTTGCCCACCCTTCCCTCTTTCAGAACTTCGCTATTCCATGCAACTCAGGAGCAGCTCGGACATTAGTGGATGCAAGAGGAGGTCTACTTCCTGAGGCATCACAGCCAGAATACGTCGAATTTGAGGAGGTGATTGAAAGACATTGATACACACAAGAGGGTTTTGATACACAAGTACTTTACAGCTCAATGAGAGGAAAAGAACGGTACACAATGAAAGGGAGGGCCTGCCAGCATGGCCCCCAACATCCAAACCTCTTCAGACTGACATCTGCTTTTTGTTTCTTCTGGATGATTCTGCATGATGGAGATCAAGTGGGCTGTTCAAAAAGTAAGCGACAAGTTGAGATCAAAGGATCCCGCTCTCTCTTCCTTTCAGAGCTTGGCCCGAGCTTACAACGGTTGGTTGACGCGCAGTTTGTGTTCTTCGTTGACGCCAGGAGACATCCAGCACCACGATGGTGCTCCGGAAGGTCAAGAGGATGCCCCTCAAGCAAAGCATCAAGAAGTCCAAGTGATTCCTGAGACCAAACTACACGTTAAAATGTCCATACTAGCCAAACATAGTTAAACTGAGTACCTCGGGACTGCTGATGCATCACTTGTGGCCAAAAATGTTGTTGGTGGTTTGGCTTTTCTGCAGTGGCAGTGACAGTTTGCGACTCTTCTTCACCAATCAAGCACTCCATAGTGCAAACAAATACATACTTGCGGTATCTTGCGGTGAAGGATTGCTAAACTAGCCTCTGATCGCCTCCGATTTAGAAAAATGCTTGCCCCAAATGATACGTAGGGTATAATGGTTCGGTCTCGGGAGAAGGTTATTACAGAATGACAGCCAACTTTTGGGGGAGCCATTCCTGGTGATGTTGGACCAGGATCATGGCAACAGCTATTGGAATGAGGAGTTTTTTGGTGTAAAGGGGGTTAGACTCTAGACTCTAGACACTCTGCCGGTAGGCTAAACACGGCTGAAAAAATATAGAACGATTTCCACTGTTGGATCCAGGAGGATCTTCCGGGGAGGGGATCTGATGCGCTTGTGTGCACTTTGTCGAACAAAAACATCACGCCAAAACTGAGCGGCCTGTGCTGCTAGGGCCTTCTCCATACATAATGAATTCAACCAGCTTAGTTCCGGCGCTACTGCTTTGGTGCACCAATGGGGCCCAAGTATGCAAGGGTGTTTGTGGTGTGTAAGTGTTGTGCGAGATAAAGGCAAAATACAGCTTGGGAGCAAAAGAATCAAGAAGCAAATCCTGAGAATAAGCAAAGCATAGGAAACTAAGGTCTTCTTTTTCTCAGAGACTCATCGCAGAGAAGTCCTTGGCATCAGGGAAGCGCTGCTCAGCCAATTCCAGACACCGCGCAGCGTCTGTGGCGTCGATGGAGAGCCGCTGCTGTGCTTCCGTGAGTTTGAAGGCAGCCTCTACGAAGGACAGCAAGCAACCTGCGAACGCAAGCAGGACATGAAAGCCTTCACCGCTTCTCTTTGGCCAACAACCTTCGAAGTTCAAAAGGGGTATCTGAATAGGGTTAAGAATAGCTAAGCAGTGCAACTTCTGAGTTAGGGAAACAATCAGGCCCGAGGATGTGGTCTGCCAACGGTATATGCATGACCAGTCACGTCAGGCTGTTTTTGAAGAAACTACCTCTGGTGTGGTGGCCTAGACAGTCTGGGGATTGCACAAAGTAGTGCCGAGAAAAGCGGGGAGAGAAAAACCAAAGCGTTTTCCGGTTCTTGAGGCCTGGAGACACACGACAAAAAGCAAACAAATTTGCAGCGGATGTGAGAAGGTGATGCAGACGCCAATTGATATTGATGAGGTGGTGAGGCATGCTGTTTGGTGGTCTGTATGTATATATATATAAATAGAGAGAGACTGAAAGATACAGTTTTACGAGTGCCTGATGCAGGTCTTTTGATGCCTGCAATCTTGGTGGCTGTGAAAGTGAGGGGCGTGCAGAAAGTGAGGGGCATCCATCAGTGCATTCGAATAGTAAGACACACAAGGATTCAAATGCAAAGCGCATGGACCGGGGTGGCACGACATCGCCTTTCTTGCTACAAGGACAAGAAGTAGAGCCAAAACATGCAAATTGCAAAGTCACCAGGATATTTGTTGGAGATCCTGGTGATTTACATGGCCACCTTGTAGACCAAAACACTTTCGCTTTGAATCTGTCGTTCACTGCGCACCTTGTCAAGCTTCCTTGACCGCAAAAACAAACCGACAACCCAGGTTTGGAAAATAGTCAGAAGCAATTCTTTACGTCCATGTCTTGCTGCTAGACATGGACAAAACAAGGGCATCGCTACTAGTAGTTACTAGTAGCAAGGACATTGCTACTAGTAACTAATCAGCTTGAGCACTGCCTTCACTGGCAAGAACCAGTCCCACGCCCCAACTCGTCGTCCGATTATACCCCGTGTCTGGGCATAGTGTGCCACACCTCTCGACAAACGGGAGGGGGCCCATTTTGGAACACACGATTCGGCTCATTTTGGAACACGCAGAGTTTGCCCGTTTAAGCCCATTCTGGAACACATGATTCGGCTCATTTTGGAACACAACAATGATTTTTAACACTGTGGAACAGATTCCGGTGTTCAATGGAAGCTTGTTGATATGTAGCGCGCATGCCATGTCATACCAGTTCGCGGATCAAATTTAGAGGAGGAAGGTGCCATGCCAAGGTAGTATACCTTCCTGGGTTGTTTTATTGCTTTGATCTCCTTCAATATAAGCGGGAGGGGGCGCGATGGGCGCAGCGCCTCCCCCGCAATGTCACCAAGTCTAGTGGCTTCGTTGGTGGGGTTCGTTGGTTGCTTCGTTGCTTGGCTTACCCCCCGCGTGGCTCACAAACAGCATGCTTTGGAATGGCACCTTCCTGCTCTAAATTTCACCCCCGTGCCTCACAAAAGTTGGACTGGCACCTTCCTGCTCTAAATTTCACCCCCGCGTGGCTCACAAAAGGCATGCTACCTTGGGATGGCACCTTCCTGTTCCAAACTTTATCACCGCGTGGCCCACACAAAAAGCATGCTTTGGAATGTTGCCTTCGCGCACTAAACTTCACCCCCGCCTGGCTTACAGAAGGTATGCCAGGTATGCTACCTTGGAAAGGCACCTTCCTGTTCTAAACTTTATATACCCCTGCGTGGCCACAAAAGGCATGCTTTGGAATGGTGCCTTCCTCCTCTAAATTTCACCCCCGCGTGGCTCACAAAAGGCATGCGGCATGCTACGTTGGACTGTCCGGCTCTAAAATAAGCCCCCACTACAAGAAAAGACTGAAAAACACCAAAGAAAAAACACCATCAACAAAAAACACTCTCAGAAAAAAATACGCTCTCAGAAAAAAAACACCAGAAGAAAACACCAGAAGAAAAACCACCAAAAGACCAAAAAAAAGAAAGAAAAGAACACGATACAGTAATAAAAACCCCGAGAAGAAAAAACCAACAAAAAAATCTACCCTCAGAAAAAAAGAACAAAAGAAAAACACACCAGAAGAAAAAGCCGCGAGAAGAAAAAACATCACAAGGAAAACACACCAAAAGAAAAGACACACTAGAAGAACAATAAATGAGAAAAAAACACACCAAAAAAAAAACACGCACAAGAAAAAACATTGGAAACACGAGAGAGAGAGAGAGAGAGACCATCAGCCCCACCGCAGGAAGAGCATGCGATCCAAATTGAGACCTCTTCCCTCCACAAACGGGACACTGCATGCTCAAGGAACAAAGTGGAGAAACTCTCGGTTGCACAGCAGATGGCATGACATCCCTTCAGATGATTCAAACCTTCTCCATGAGAAAACTAGCAGAACATGCGAATGACGAAGTGTCGTTAAACTCTTGAAGCATCAATCTCTTCATAGCGTGCTGAGCACGCGTTCAATTTGGACTGGTGAGCAGCCTTTTCATTGCACTTCAAGACCTCACAAGCTGCATCACCACAATACGCCACACCAACAGCCACACCACGACACAGCCAGCCACAACACCACAAACCACGCAACTAGATCGCATTTCACGATCCTATAAGAATTTTGTCTATTCTTGGTAGAAGGTCCACCCCCTACTGCTGGAGACATCATGGCATGGAGACGAGTTTGGTTGAAGAAGCTATCATAGTGAGACAACAGCTTGGGAACTTGAAGTTCCCTCGGCCAAATGACCATCTCATTCCAAAATGGTTGTTCCAAAGCAGCAGTTGCTGAATGGCTGAATGTAAAAACGGAAAATGTCCCCTTGGTTCATGTCATGAACTCTCTCAAAAACCAAGCAGCTCTTGACCGAAGAGGCGGTGCTGCAGACCTCGGACAGCTGATGAAAATAGTTGTTCGATCCGCAATGATACTTCAAAGGGAATGCAACGCTGTGACTTCGCCTAAGGTACTACTAATTGCTACTAGAATTACTACAAGCGCTGGGGTTTCGTCACCCGGGTTTGCAGGAAGTCACCCGGCCGCATGTAAACGCAGCATTTGTAAAAAAGTCACCCGTCTCGCGAAAAGTCACCCGTTTTATGTTAAAACACAATGTAAAGCTGCTTTACATCAAGAATTCACTGCCCCTGTGCAGGAAAGAACTAGTTTTATGTCGAAGTTTGCAGCGTTTTGGTGACCGAACCCCAATCAGAACGCAGGATCAGCCTGCAAACATAGATGCTGCTGCATCCTGAGACTGCACGATTTTTTTGTCGGAAACATGGCTACGCTGGCGCGAGCTGGCGCGAGTGCCGTGCGAGTCTTTTCGAACCTGACACGAGTGCCGCGCGAGTCGAGGTATCCACCTACCCACGTCGATTATCTTCAAATCACTTTTTGGTCACCTTCCCTCTAACCTGCATGTAAACGCAGCATCCAAAAATTGTTGTTGACCAGACACTCTTCCAGTTATATTGACATCTTGCATCTAACCCCATTGTAAACGCAGCATCCAGACGACTTTCTACAAGACCAGACGACTTAACACAGGTACTTGTAGCATCGTGAGTGTAATGAGGGGAGCAAGCAAAGCACACCAAAGTACTACAGTATACGGGCAAGCCAAACATGTACGGAGTATTACGGAGTGTTGTCCAGGAGTGACTTCATGAAGCCTACCCTTGGGCTTCACTGGCCAAGGTGCAGCCGCACATTGGGCCACAGCCATTCGGAGCTTCCTCAGCAAGGCATAGGCAGAGGCGCTGTCGGCTTGCGCGCGTTCGAAGCTGAAGTGGTACACTGGCCGAAAGAAGGCCTCATTGGCCGACAGGCGTTCAGCCTGGATCGAATTAAGCAATCCTGAAAACACAGAGCCATGACTCATGGCCCTCGTCCCGTCTTACATGGTCACGTCACTGAAAACTAGTGGCACCGTACCTTCCTTCTTTCATTGCAGTATATGTGTCATTATATACAGTAAAAATATTAATATATATATATACATATCTGTGTGTGTCATGTGTGTGTGTGTGATGTGTGTGTAACCCTTGGAGTCACAGGGATCCTTTTGGATTTTCAGCAGGGGGACACGGCACCAGATTGCAGACCGTGTCTAACAAAGCTATGCAATCTGGTGGGATATCCAGCTTGGCCAGCTGGACGTACCTGCAATTTTCCTTCTTCCGAATGGCATGAGGCTAAGCCTAGAACCTCCTGACATGTTTCCTAAGTAGCCGCAGACTTGCACGCCACGACGTCATCTTGTCGGTTCGTCGCTCATCTTCTTCCTTTTGGGCCCTACTTCCTCTTGAAGGCCTCCAGGATCCAGTGGTTCGTACGTGTACCCTTAGGAACTGGAACCCTAGGCCGGCGTGTGGCACCGCTTTCCGTTCCGTATGCATATCCATGAGTGTGTTTGGCCTCGTGCCAACCCGGGATGAGCCCGCAGAGTGCCTCCCGTGGACCCGTTGAACGGGGGTTTGTCCATGTTCCCCCGGCTCTGGGAACGCAGATGTCCGCAGCGGACAGCAGGTGGCCTAGGCCGAACGTACGATGACTTTTACCTCATCTTAGGAATTCCAAGTTGGCTCATGCCTTTACGTGACCGCACCGGTCCAAGCTGGCTGAACGCCTCAACGTGGTCAGAGCGACCGAAGCACTTTTGAGGTTCATTGGAACCTGTCGGCGACTTAGGTGCACATACATCGTACACACCTTAACGAGGCAGGTCTTCCTAGGTTGTTATAATGAGGTCTGGTTTCATCGGTTCCCGTCCCCTCCATTTGGTTCCCCTTTCACCCTTTCCCCTTCACATACTTCTTTTCCTCTTTCTTTTCATGTCTTCCCTTGCTTCATGTCCTTTCATCTCACTCCTTTCGTTCTTTTGCGCGTACAACGGTCCGGGCCTTAGTGTGTACGCGCACATCTACTTCCAACTCAGGTGTTAGGTCGCCCAGGTCTCGACAATGAGGTGGGTTTCATCGGTTGTCCCTGTGCACTTGGTTTCTCTTTCATCGCCACCACACACACACACACACTCTTCTCCCGTCTCGTCTTCCTTCTCATGTCTTCATTCTCTTGTTTTTGCTGCGCGCACATTTACACTTTTGTCCTAGCCTTAATTTTGCCTCCCCTCGGGGAGGCGTGTGTGTGTAACCCTTGGAATCACAGGGATCCTTTCGCAGCAGGGGGACACGGCACCAGATTGCAGACCGTGTCTAACAAAGCTACGCAATCTGGTGGGATATCCAGCTTGGCCAGCTGGACGTACCTGCAATTTTCCTTCTTCCGAATGGCATGATGCTAAGCCTAGAACTAGAACCTCCTGACATGTTTCCTAAGTAGCCGCAGACTTGCACGCCACGACGTCATCTTGTCGGTTCGTCGCTCGTCTTCTTCCTTTTGGGCCCTACTTCCTCTTGAAGGCCTCCAGGATCCAGTGTTTCGTACGTGTACCCTTAGGAACTGGAACCCTAGGCCGGCGTGTGGCACCGCTTTCCGTTCGTATGCATATCCATGAGTGTGTGATGTGTGTGTGTGTACGTTTATCGGACATGTACACACATATGCCATAGGTGTACATTATACATCTATGATGTATGTCATTGTATGTCATATTATATCTAATATGGAAATCCTCTTACGCTTCTCCATCGCTTAATTCTACTTCACACAACTCGAGCGCCGCCTGGCCAAAGAGGCCTCGCATGATGGCCAAGCTTTGGGATAGCAGTGGGTCTGGCACCACCTCGGTGTTGACATTTCACGATGTCTTTCCAATGTTTCCTGGTCTTCAGTGCTGTGCGGAAAAAAGAAAAAAGCTCTTTAGTCTGTCTCTGAGCCCTGAACTTGCAGGACAAGATCCTTCAGCGCAAAAAGCTGCAAGTAGAAAGAAATCAAAGGACGCTGTTGACTCCGTGCTTCGAGTAGATTACAGAACGAACCTCCAGAAAGACACTTTCACCACGGCAAGCACTACCAACGTCGCGGACGAAAAGCAAGCCAAAAAAGACACTTTTCTGCCCATTCAACCCCAACATACCCCAACCAACACAGACAAAAAGCCAACCATAGACCGACCGATCAACCAACAAACCAAGGCAACCAATGAGCCATGACCCCGACCCCCAACCAAGCATTTAGGGAGGGGTATTTTTTTAAAGCTTCTTTTTTGGATTTTTTTGTTTTTCGTGGCTTCTGGCTTCTGGCTTCTGTGGCTTCTGGCTTTTGTGGCTTTTGGCTTCTGTGGCTTCTGGCTTTTGGCTTTCGTGGCTTTCGTGGCTTCTGTGGCTTTTGGCTTTTGTGGCTTTTGGCTTTTTGGCCTATCCATCTATCTGTCTATACCTATCTATTTATCTATCTTTCTTTCTTTTGGCAGCTGTTCTCCTTTCTCTTTTTGTATTTGCTTTTCCTGTTGTTTTCGTTGCAGAGACGAAACCAAACAAGGAAGCAAGCAAGCAAGCAAGCAAGCAAGCAAGCAAGCAAGCACGAGCTGCTCACCTTTGGATCTGGTGTGCTGCTGGGGGGGACGCTGCGCCCCCCCCCCCAACCCCCCCCGCGCCACGAAATCTGCACTTCATCCCCGACACCCGCGCCTGCCACGAAATCAATATTTTAAGGTGAACTCCCCGGCGCAAAACTTTCTAACCAAGCAAATATGCCTCCTCTATCTATCTATCTATCTTATCTTATCTTATCTGATCTTATCTTATCTATCTATCCATCAATTTATCTTTCTATCTTTCTATCTTTCTGCAGTTTTCTGCAGTTCAACATCCACAAAGTACTGCACCTGCCACGAAATCTGCACTTCAAGGTCCACACAGTCTTGCGCCCGCCACGAAGTCTGCACTCCAAGGCCCACAAAGTCCTGCACCTGCCACCAACTCTACACTTCCACACCCACAAAGTCCTGCATCTGCCACGAAATCTGCACTTCAAGGTCCACAAAGTCCTGCGCCTGCCACAAAATCTGCACTCCAAGGGCCACAAAGTACTACACCTGCCACGAAATCTGCACTTCAAGGCCCACAAAAAGTCCTGCGCCTGCCACAAACTCTGCACTCCAAGGCCCACAAAGTCCTGCACCTGCCACGAAATGTGCTTTGCAAGGTCCACAAAGTACTGCACCTGCCACGAAACACGAAAAACAAAAAAAAACAAAAAAAAACGGACTAGACGACGAGTGGCCCGAAAGCATTTTGCATCACGTAGGAAGTCAGAGTGTGAGTTATCTGTTAAGTGTTCAGTGTGAAGTGTTAAGTCGAGTGAGTTGAGGCAGTGTGTGGGTCTCTGTGTGCGTGTGTGTATCTATGTCTGTGTGTGTATGAGTCTCTGTCTGTGTGTGTGTCTCCGAGTAAGTTGAGGCAGTGCGTGGGTCTCTGTGTGTGTGTCAACCTTTTAAGAGAGCCGGGTGGTCGGGAGACATGACTCAGCTGCAGGGGCGCCAGAGCAGCTGCGAGAGATGACTCAGCCGCGAGAGATGACTCATCCGCGTACTAAAGTTGTACTGCAAAGTCACCAGTTTTCAGCGCCCAGCTCCACAGATTGCTCCGCGTACTAAAGTTGTACTACAAAGTCGCCAGTTCTCATCTTCCAGCTCCCCAGATACTCCGCGTAGTAAAGTTGTACTACAAAGTCGCCAGTTCTCATCTTCCAGCTCCCCAGATACTCCGCGTACTAAAGTTGTACTACAAAGTCGCCAGTTCTCATCTTCCAGCTCTCCAGATACTCCGCGTACTAAAGTTGTACTACAAAGTCGCCAGTTCTCAGGTTCCAGCTCCACAGATTACTCCACGTACTACAGTTGTACTACAAAGTCACCAGTTCTCATCTTCCAGCTCCCCATATACTCCGCGTACTAAAGTTGCACTACAAAGTCGCCAGTTCTCATCTTCCAGCTCCCCAGATACTCCGCGTACTAAAGTTGTACTACAAAGTCGCCAGTTCCCAGCTTCCAGCTCCACAGATTGCTCCGTGTACTAAAGTTGTACTAGAAAGTTGCCAGTTCTCATCTTCCAGCTCCCCAGAGACTCCGCGTGCTCAAGTTGTACTACAAAGTCGCCAGTTCCCAGCTTCCAGCTCCACAGATTACTCTGCGTACTAAAGTTGTACTACAAAGTCGCCAGTTCTCATCTTCCAGCTCCCCAGAT